GCCCATCAATATCAATTCTAAATTGCACTTAAAGTCCATTTAAACCTCAAAAATGATGAACGGAAAAAAAATACCGTTATAAATTCAGTAATCTGATTTTCGAATCTTGAATTGTTATACATATAAATTATAATTTACATAATGTTGTTATATCTCTATGAACTCTTAACTCTATACCAACCGGCGAAAGGATCCTCGTAGATCGTTGATCGATCAATCCACGAGTGGGGATTACAAGGAAGACTTTCGATTTCACGATTACGGACCGAGCAATCTGCTTTCGATTTTGCACAATTCCTCGCACAAAGATCTTCACGTTGAACGATGAATGTGAAGGAACGCGTGGGAGTCATTGTTAGTTTCATTGTAATATCTCCAAAGTGTCTATAACGTAAGTTTCGTATATATAGCGATTAGTAATTATCATTTGTAATTGCGCAAGCTATGATTGTAAATACAAACAGGACCATTTCCACTTTATTCTCTACTTTGCTTAAAATGAAAATAATGGCGCGCCTCTCGCTCTTTGCTGCCACGTTCGACGCCATTACCAGGAGTCGTCGGCCAAATGAAATGCAAATGGTCCCGTCAAAGCCGATGGGACGATATTAGCGAGCCTTTACGCGCGATTGCACAAGGGTACTCCATTGACTTTTTACTATTTTCTTTGGAAAGTATAAAAATGTGCAAAAAATAAAAATAAAATACAAAGTGTCGGGCGGGATTAACTAAAAAAAAATATTATGACCCAGTTTATAAGTTATGACGTAGTACGTGTAGTTTTACGAGGAAAATTTTGTCCTGCTGAATATTTTGGCATTACACTTTTTCGCTGGTAAAACACAAGCTTTGAAAAAGTACGAAAGATTTTTCAAAAAAAAAAAAAAATTTCAGGTCATAATAAAATTCATGCAAAATGAATATCCTTCGTGCGAATATACCGCTTTAAAATAATATGGCACACGTGATCTTCGGGCATCACGAAAAAAGACATTGGTTATTCAAGTAAAGATACCCAGAGATCTTGTACGATCCTAGTATCCATTTTTCTAATCGAGATAACAGGACCCGTTTAATAAGACGGGCAGCGTCGTTCTGTCCAGATGTCCTATTGGGGTAGCAGGTACTTTCGAATTTCCTTATTGTTTGCCAAAACCAAAGCTAATAATTCAGCCTTGTACTCACGGAATGATACCCTACTAAATTCGAAAGGAGATCCTGATTATTCAGGGTCAGCACTTAGCTGATAGGACCAACACCTGCAGGATTATAGACATCCAGAGATCCTTACAAGGGATCCTGTATCTCACGTTCCAAAGTGCTTGCTTAAAGGGAAATCAATATCCTGTGTTATCCTGTGGGATATCCTGTAGGGACCCCGAGCATATATTACAGATGCAAACATAAAAATCCGAATACGCTATAAGTATACTAAAATACAAAGAACGAATTTCCAAGTTGTTTTAGAAATTCTATAAATTAATTTTATTCCTATCGAGATACTGTATCTTTTGTATTTTATCACTTTTAAAAATGCATGATAAAATTTTTATTTTAAAAAATTTCGAATTTCAGTCGATTAAAATCGCAAATTCCTATGAACAACAAACCTCAGGTTTCTTTGGGCTTACACAGTCATTTTGTATTCTGGAACGTGGACCAAATGATCCTTCTTCTTACTGAATGATTTAGCTGACCAGCACCTTGGAACGGATATCCTGCAGCTGCAACCCCTATGCACCTATTCTATCCACCCCTGACGGATACGCCTAAGTAGCAGATATACGATGCAATGTTTTCCGGCAGAATGACGCAGTATAAACTGCATCGACTTGCTGCATCCGTGATAAAGTTTTCGAGTTACTTTTTCAACGAAGTTTATACTATATACTGTATACTATGTTTACTGTACTGTAACGTAAGTCTGTATTCTGTTGAAAATAAATATGCCGTCAGGATGCTGGCTTAAGATTGATGCATTATTGCACTCTCGTATAAAATGCATCGTAAAGACCGATGGAGGTGGATGGACGTCAGTCACTGGCTGTTTTGAAGTAAAAATTAAAATGGGTATCGTAGCCGGATGAGAAACTCTAAGGAAGAGTTGGTTACGCTGCCGTAGAAGTAAGTACTACCAACTAGTCGAGTGCATTGCGGTAACTTGCGTTCCATTTAAAATGCATTAACCTTCCTTGAAACCACCGACTTAACGTCTACGGTTTATTTTTACTCTTGCTCATACCCGACCCTACCATCAGTTTGGCTTCGAATATTTTCATTCGCAAAACCATCAGGAACATTTTGAAAAGCTCCTGAAGAAACATCGACGTTTCGTTAAAGAAGTTTAGATTTTTGTTCACATGATTATTTAATGGGAAGACGAACGAGTCGACAGAATACATTTAACGAATTATCATCAATTTCAATGAAATGAAGAAGAAGCCAATTGTTTGAAGAATTGATACGACATTTTTTTTTGGAATACATAAAAATGTAACTCTGCTGAGAAAAAAAAAACAGCTTTCTTCGGGGCTGCTGATTCTGTCGGCAATAGTAATGCGATTGATGGTCCTGACGTCGTCCAAAGTTGCTTCCATTCCCTTTGAAGTTCGCGGAGGGTTCGTTGGGCGAAGCGAACGCGACATGGTTTTTCAATAAATTTTCCAAAATTCTTGCCTTAAGCGAAAAGGTCGCTGACGTAAAGCCAATATAAAAGCTCCTCAGGCAAGTTCGAAGGCGAGGATGAAAATGAAAAAAATAAAAGTAAAGAGAATCCCTAAGAGTTAGCTATAAATAGAAGAACCCCATGGTTACAATGATAGAATGCCGAAGAAAAGTAAATGCGAGACTTTAAAAAGCACCGCGCACGTATAGCTATTCGGTAAAGAAAAAAATAAGTATTAAAAAATATACATAAAACACAGAAAAAAGTTTAACGAACTCAAACAAAAGCAAAGCTCCTCGTTCGCCGTTGCCGTCAGCCCCTATCGAGGGTTGAAGTAAAAGCAGGCAAACAGGCGGAGGGTAGCCCCATAGTCCTGTCTGCCTTTCTACCACCATCATCAGAAGCAGGAAAGAGCACCCCCATGGAATGGCAGTAACTCCATGTATTACGAGTGAGCCTCCCCCATACAAAACTACCCCTTGGAGCTGTATCGATCGTACACCCTGCTAACTCGCAACCCTCCGTGCCCGAGTTCGGCACGCTGCATCCCGAGCGGACAAAGGAAACCGACTACGCACAAAGAGACTCGTGCCTCAAATTCGTTCCTGAAAATCCACCAAGATTGGAGCCATCTACCGTGGAATATCATGAACGGGACTCGTGACTCTTTCACACCCCCAAAGTCTATCCAGCTACATACATATAGCCGTGTCTGCACGTAACCGACCACCTACTACTGATAGTAGATAAGTACAGCCAGAAGCATCGACTTAAGTACAAGTTGGTGGAAGTTGAGGATTCATCCTAAAACCACCCTTATCAGACTTTAATTCACCCTGTAAATCCAACGCCTTACGTAACTTGCTACTCCATGACCACAGTGTCCGACAAGACCCACGGTATGTTCGTAGCTTGCTGCTAAGCTTATACCAGCTCGTCGAGGCTTACCGAGAATGTTTGATGGGCTTTATTTGTTTACGAGCAACAATTCATCCCCTATTCAGGTAAATAAGTATCGACTCTGTAGGATTATAATGAATTATAAAGAGTCCAGCAGATGAAACATACGGTGCTCATATAATTTGTATTATGTTATTTCAACCGGAAACTACGTCGGGACGCCGTGACCTTTCATCACTTCCGTAAGCGGCTTCAAAGTGATCCTGTACTCGCGATAAATGGCTTATATACTTACGACCTAATCTGTATGTATATACAGCTAGGTATCCATGTACATACCATACGCACGTGAATGGGTATGTGCAAGGGTATGTGCAATGTAAGAGCAGCTACGTGCGTAGTACCATATCACGAAGCGTGGCGAATAAGCAACTTCCGGTTGTCGTGAAAGTGAAAATTCAAGAATAAAAGGAAAGATCAGAATAATGAATTGCAGAATAATGAATCAATGATCATATAATACTCAAGTATAATTATTAAATAGTTTCACGTGCTTTTATATCCTCTGTATATGACATAGGAAAAATAGCGTTATATATATAGTTATATTAATAGCTGTGAATATTACAGCAACATGAGTGGTTTGCACAATTTTAATCGGTAGTTATACGGATAACAGTTATCAGATGTAATCAGTTCTTTCGTTTAGCAGTAAAGTGAAGCTGTAACGAGTGAAATTTACATGAAAAATATCTTTAAAAATTATTATTGCAGCACACGGAGATATAGGCAATTAATTAAGCTGTTAATATTTATTGAAATACCTGGAAAATATATCTGACAAAATTACATGACTGTGTAATTGAAAAAAATTTTCTTAAACGCTTTCTCGTGTTACTCGCATTTGGTGGACACGTCTATTTCTACCGACAGGATTGGGGCGCGAATCTGCGATTATCAGGATGCTCCAGGTTGAGGAGTGTGACACTTTATCCACTGAGGCGCTGGTGTAATTTATTAATTTATTAAAGGATACTAGGAAAATATTTAATTATTATAGTTTGATTAGTAGTCAAACTCTACGCAGCGTGACTCCAAGCTCAGGATTGGAGTTTCGAAATATATTCGAAAGGATATCTTTCTCAGAAGAAAGAGCGACGAACACTCGGTAGCGTAGACCCGATAAATTTATTGAATGAAAAAATTCATCACAGTAAGATTCTGGTAAATATTTACTAGCCGAATAAGCTACGACGTTAACCGCGAAAATGAGCTGTAGAACTGAGCGCAAGAGGCATTCTGCTCCCTTGTATTCGTAGTAAAAATCCGCAAACTAGCGGGGTAACGAAATTGGTGGTAATTCTATCCAATAAACTAATGACGAAAGTCAACGTATTTCTCGTACAGGTTATTATAGTCATATGATAAGTATTAATCTCTACCAATGATAAGGACGATATCTCAACTGGAAGTGCTACGCCTCTGATCAAAATTTCCGATGTAACAGCGCAGTTTTGAAGCAGCGTCTGTCCAATGCAGAACTTTGTGCGACATCCAGGAGTACACTTTCAGCCCAGCACAGTAATGTCAGGTGGGATTGTTTAAAAATTACTTAGTACTTTTAAATGAGTCATTAATAAATCCTTTGTTCGTCGAATGGGACCATTTCGAAAGTTGATATACATGCGATGCTTTTAGCATCCTTCTGGAACCTTCTTAAATGCATTAACAACCGAGACACTATAGAAGTAGCAAACTAAATGACATTTCGAAATGAAAGTTAGTCGTTATAGAATTTCTCTTTGAAATGCACCCCAGCGAAACACGGATTTACCGCATACAGACAGTAGTGCGCAATTTACATTAACCTCAGTGGAGTAGTTATACGAAATAATTAGAAGGTAAATTTCTACGCTAAAGCATTGCCCTTGATAGCTACGCCTATGCACACGGTGCCGGAGCCACTGTCTCTGCACGCCAGTCGCCATTAAAAGTGGAAGCAGACGCAATGGTGCAGGCAATACGGTGAATCTTTTCATAGTCGAAAATAAGATTTTGATAAAGTATTAATTAAATTTAATTTTTGAAAATATAAATGAATCAACGGGATCAGAGCTGTCTCCTAATGGCATATGATAATATGCAATTCCTAATTAAAAAATATCTGATACAGTAATCGAGGATGTGTCATAGACAATACTGTTTCTGTGATAAGAGTTGTCGATATTTTTAATTGATAATAATTCAATTGCATCATTTCTATTTTTCTAATCATTACTTTTTTTTTTACTTTCGAACATATTTCACTTAGTACGTTAATTTTAGGATACAAATGGGTAAGGTATACAGGAGGGCGTTACACGACGCCCGGGATGATTAGCGTTGGTCGAGATAAGGATGGCTCTAATCTAGTTGTCGGCAGAGCCTATCACCAGGGAGACTTACTTCCGGCGAAAGTCAAACCGGAACATGGTGTAGCGTATATCAGTCACAATATGCAGGAAATAATCAAGCACGACTTTGAGGTGGGTTTCAAGACTTTTAATAATATTGACTGGAGTATCTTAAGCGTGTTAAATTATTAAAATTGTGGAAACAGATATTGATGCCGTTGGAATTTACCTGGGTTAATGCTCGAAATGGGCAAATACCTGCTGGCGCAGTACCCGGCGGGTATACAAGAAGCGGGGAGCAACTTTATATAGGAAAGGTCTTTCACGATGGGGTGCCTGTAGTAGGAAAGGTCAGTAATGATAACTTTAATGAAAAAAAATGAAGAAATAATTTTTTGAAAAATTTCTCAAATTTTTAGCTACTTATTTTTTCAGGTACATCCTAGTCATGGTGTATTGTACATACCTTATGGGAATCAGGAAGTACCTTACAGAGAATATCAAGTGCTGACACAGTCTTAATTTATATAACGTCTATTATATGTTTTTCAGGAAATCTGGTTAATAGATTGTTTTGCTCTCGTTTGCAATGTATAGTTAATTTATCCATTCTTGTGTATATCACTGTTGATTATACATTTAAAAATTTCACTTCAACAGTACCGCGTGGCAAATATTCGGCAAGTAAATAAAAAGTTCGTTAATTGAAAAGCAAGCAAACCTAGATACTTATAATTACGAAATTTTTTACGAAAACAAACAACTCTACTCCCACGCTAACTTCAAGCTTTAACGAGACGTCCTTCGTTGGTTCTCCAACCAAAAACACAGCAATGGCTGCGAAATTAATATGCATGGAGAAATTACTTATCCTTGTCCAGAACGCATTCTTCACTGTTACAGACGAGAGAAACTGTGTGAATATCGTATTGCACGAGAGGATGCACTCCCCTTAGGTATACTATCCCCATAATCACATGATTGTTCACGGTCTGAGACTTCATTTTCGATGGCGACGTTATGCTCCGTTCATACTATGCTACGGCATACTATATCTATATGTATTTCACAAAAGGGCCCAGGATCCTTCTCTATAGTGACAGCTTCGAGCTAGACAGAATAAATATGAAAATAAGCTTTATATCCTCCTTTATTTACAAAAAAATACTTTTCTAACTTAAAAAAATAATTCAATTTATTATCATAAGCTCTGTACGAATTTTCAGAATATTTTTCTTCCTAGCTGTACAGCCTTTACTACAAAAGAAATGCTACTGAGAATTCGTTTCTGTTAGGTACACCCTATATATATACGGGGCACGTGGCCGTTGCAGTATTATTCCCATGACAGACACGTGGCTCTGGAGGCTCCATTGTTACTCGCCTGCTGCCCGAGCTTGAGCTACTTAATATTTTCATCGAAATAGGCTTAAGGACGGTGAGTAAAGCCCGTCATTTTTTTTTCATTCATTAATTTCGTTCGAGCATTCATTCAAAAAAGAGTGGATGGTAAATATTCAATAGCAAATTGTTACTTGGGATGGAAACTGTTTTTTTCCATTCAACCGTGCACTTTACATTAAATAGTAATTTTGCGTACTGTCACTCGATTGGTATAAAAAAGCTACGGCGAAAATTGCATTCGCCTCAGAGGGAATAAATGAATAAATGTCTATCAATCTAACGAACATATAAAGAGGAAACAAAAGTAACAGTTCGAACGATAAATTTTATCGGATATTGGAAAAGCACATTTTTTTACTTTATCCCCTTACTCGATCCCATACGTAACTGAGTATACGAGTTTTAAAATAAATACATAAAAAAAAACCCATGAAAATATCTCATCTCGAATTTACTTGTTACAATACTAAAACACTATGACGATACGAAATACGACATATACCGTCATATACAAAACCATTATTTTTCATATTTGCTTTATTTCAGTTCAAATGATTATTTCTCCATTTTTCAAAATTTCATCGCAACGCTTTCATCCATAATTTTTGATATGGTACTAGACTTAAGATATAAATGTAAAAAGTCTCCTTCGTCAACCCCCTCGCCAGCCCCAGAACAATCTCATAAAAATTCTCTTTACTCTGGTTTACGCTTTACCGTGCCACGTGACTTCGATAGATCTGATGTTGAGTTTCCAATGTTTCCATCCCTATGGATACTATCCATCCCTTAACACATCACCCTCGGAGGGCACACGTCACAGAATCCACTAGAGATCCACAACAAAGGATCTTGCGTAGACTTCAGGATTCATGCTCTCTTTTCTTACATAGTGTACAAGGTGTTGGGATATATAAGTATATAGTACATTCCACAAAACGAATACATATACCGCAATATATATATCCTATTTATATACGTGTATATATATATATAATATTATAATAATATATATATTATATTATTAATATATATATTATATATAATAATATATATATTATTTATATATATATATATAATATTAATAATATATATATTATATATATATATATATATTATATCTTACGCGCATATGTATTCCCCATGTGTGACCATATTACTCACAGCGTTCCAAGCGCGTGCCCACTGTGCACGAGGTGCGTATGGCGCGTGCAGACTCCATCATTGAGAATCCTCTCCATTCTCTACAGTCCCTCTCATTCTGCAATGGGTAGAGCAGCAGCTGCAACTGCAGCTCATGGAAAAATCCACAGCTGCATCCCAAAATGGTCATTGGAATTAGCTATGAAAATTATTCATAAGCCATTAGAGGAATCCAGTCAAGTCCATTCTAATCCAGAGGAATCTAATCGCGTAACGTTACCTAAGCGAAATAATTGTCTTAGAAATATCATTTACTTACCATCATCTACTCCTAATCTTATATATCTTTGATTAATATTGATATTTCTTTTTATTAAGCCTTCTTTTCATGGCATTCAAAACTGTATCAATGTAAAATGGCCACCGTTCAAGCTACCCTCTGTCTTCCACTGCTTCCTCTTTTTTTTCCTAATATATACCCACTGGTCTAACAACAGGTTTCCTTTCAGTCCTTTGAACCTCTAAAAACTACGCATGGGGCCTCGTGTGGCTTCTATGGGGTACATGGGGTACTACCGGTGGCCTGCCAGTCTGTCTCCCTATGCCATACCCACACCATATCAAAATTTCCTTATAGGTAGACATGTGCGTGTATGTACTTATGGTGTCACGCTACGCGGCTTTTTCGGCAGCTGTCGCAACCGGCCCCATGCCATCTGCCGTGAACTAAACACATACGTACGTATCCAGAAAGGGACATATATGGGGTCCATAATGATCAGGATCTACCGGGTGTCTGTAATAAAAATTAATTCTAACAACTACTCGACATTACGCGACGAGCATGGATCGATATTTAATTCTATTTAAAGAAAAGGCCATAAGAAGTAATATTGTAAAAAATAAAAAATAAATATTTTCCAATCTCCTCCCATCATCGTACTTTTATACAATATTTACTGTACTCCGCTGAATATATACGTCGTTGTAGAATCCCGACAGAGGCGACACCGTCGCAATAAGAGTTTTCTAGAAGAAAACCGTGTGCCAATTTATACAATACAAACTGTATAAGTCCTAGAGTATCGCTCTTCTAGAACACTCTAGAATGTTCGTATAGATGCTTCTTCTAGGCTGCAGGTCGTAGGTCGTAGGTTCCACGGTGTGAAGTATTGTACACGTGATACGTGCAGGGATACGCCTTGTGAACACATTATGGTTCTCGGACTGTGTTTAAGTCGTACGTGGTGGTGTGTTACGTGAAAAGCAATCGATAACGTCACTCGGCTAGAGAAGTGCATCTGCCGTTCTCCCGGCTTAGCGTATCTTTTCCAGTAGTTTTATTATTTTTATTTTACTCTTAACTCCTGCGCCGTACAGCTACGTAAGCGCCTTTGTCACGAGGATTCGAAAACAGGGAGGAGAAAGAGAGGGATGAGATATATATATATGTATACATATATATGTACGACTATTATTGATGAATATATATATAGTAGTGTTGCACAGTGGGATCGGATAGATAAGAGTAAAATGGCTGATAGGAGGCTATTTCTGCTAGACTGGCCTTACAGGGTATTAACCACTCGATGCTCTCATTTTGAATCACCCATGTGAATGAGCTCTGGGTACCCCATGATTTTCTCTACTGGACCGATTAATTAAAACGGACCGGTTTTGACCATCTGTTCCTAACTGATAGATCGGTTATAGTTTTTTTTCTTACATGGCACATGGGTATATAGATATAGGTGGTAAAGTGCCTCTAAAGCATCCTGATATATATAAAGGGCTTTTAATTACATTTTGGTGAGAAGACCAAATGGATTTTTTTTTATCGTAGAAAATTATCGTTAAGGAATGATAAAATTTATGGTCCATCGATTAAACTAAGGGTATGGGATTCTGTTGGAATAGAGAATAGTACGTGGATTGTAAAAGTGATTTTGTTAAGGGGAACGAGACCTAGTTAACCCTTATGGCAAATATCTATTTTAATTAACTACCCCTTTGTGCAAGGTCCTTTGCCTTGTATAGAGACAAGATGGCGGCTAAGATATCCAAGCTTGTTACTACGCCTTGCTCCCTCTCATCCTGTTCCCTAATAGACAGCTTCTATCGCTCTATTCATACACCGACATTCGCATGCAAATTGCTACGAAATTAGGAGCAGTGAAGGGTTCGAGCTGACATTTTGAATTAGAATTCGGGATAGGATCATCCCTTGGATTCGAAAGATGGCCATATGCATCCCTTATCGATTCTAACGTCAATTCTGTCTAAAGTGAACGTTCCAAAATTCTGTCGATGCTGGAAATATGGTTGTGCCTTAGTCAATTGCATCCAGGTAAACAGGTTCGCGACGTTGCTCGTTGTACTGACAGTGAATTTCAGAACGTACCTTATATACACGACATAGGGCTAAGTATATATAGCTATATAGGAATCGATCTTATAATTGAATGCATGTTCACCCTTAATGGCGACAAGATGAAGAGTAAGTTCTGCACTCGAGAAATCAGATGGTTAAGGGTCGTAGGTCGTGATCTAAGACTCATCGGTGTATAGTCTGTCAGGAATGAAGATCAATACATGGGAAATTGACATTGATCACGAATCGAGGTAGCCAATTAATTCTTGTTTGTCAATTGCCACTTTTTTTGTAGAAAAAAAATTTTTCGCTTTCAGATTTATATAACGGACATAACTATATCGTCTTGAGAAGTAACCAGAGACACTAGTCGCGGACTGTGGATAAACATTAATAATTAAAAATGTCATTGTAGGTTGGGTAACAATCGGATATTAAATTTCAGGAAATCACTTTTAGTGAAAATTAAGCAAAATCACGTATTTCTCAATCAGTTGAGAAACTGCAAATTTATTTCGCTCGATCTTCCAATGAATTTCTCGGTGACCTTGACCGGAAGCGGAGTACAGATGGGATTGACGAAATTCTCATGTTTTCTTCCTCGTCTCGACCCCGCAGGAAAAAAATAGTGAATTCATTATTCGTAACCCTGGTTGGAAGTGACGATTTCTTTGAGGTAAAGCAGTTCAAGGATCAATTGTAACCCTCTTAGGTAGTGGGAAACAAACCTAGTATGAAATGAGGATGAAGTAAAGGCTCCTATTATCAATTTGACTTTAGCTGAAATGACTACTTTACTCAAGTGGATATTGGTAGTACCAACATGACGGGAAACTAGTTTCGAACGGATCCGCCATTAATTTAATATGGCGCCCATTGCTCTGGCCACGCAATGCTCCTTCGTTCGAGGAGCACCAGGCACCTAGAATCCAAGCAGGGGTTGACAGGGGTAAATGTACGTACAAATGCACCCCGGATTGGCTTTGGGGTGGTTTCCATGGCGACGGCATCGCGGCCCGGGAAGTCCTCGACAGGGTGGCGTGCTGCTCCACCGCCATCACCAATACTGACGCGGACAACGGCACCCTCTCAACAAGAAAAAGGCACCACGATTACATTCAACTGTACGGACAAAGAAATCCTCCTGTGTATTCCACAAAGATGCAGTGCTGGACCACTCTCTTTCTATTTGCTTAAGCTCCGCAGACTCTGAAGTCTTTCTACGGTCGAGAACTGTTAATTAAAATTTTTTCATGTCACTTTCCTTTTTTTAATACGACCGAAAACATTTTTTTGAAATTTACAAAATATTATTTTCCAATCTCTGTTTTTCTCTAAGGGAGTTCGTATTATGATTTCTGGCAGAGACTGATATCTCATCTTCATTTTCTCCACTAAATCTCAACATAGCTGCCTGTCACGTATTTCATAAAGCTTATGAATCGGCTTACCCTTAGATCTACGAATATACATATACGCATATGGCAATCCACCAACGGTTATTAATAGACGGGAAATTATATGTAAAAACCGGGAGAATCGTTAACGAACTAACGCTTGCACATCGAGGGATTGGTTCGTATACGAATTCCCGACTCAATCGTGATTTCTTCCGGACCATCTGGCGCGTCTAGCCGGCGAACAAAGAGGCTGAAATCGCGAGCTACGAGCCCGGGGTGAAAAGTTGCCACAAAGGGAGCAAAACCACCCCTGGCATTGCTGGTACACTCAGGACACGTCGAGAGTGGGATATTCAAACAAACATCGAACGCGAATCATAGCAACTTAATAATAAAAAGAATACATCTTTTAATAAACTCACCTAACTAAATGACGTCTTTATAGTCATTTAATATCCAAATCCTTTGAAATTGTCGTGAAGCAGAATTTTCCAAAATAGTGTCTAATCCAAATATTCCTCAGCACCCGGCATCGCTCGGATTCCAATTTGGCTCTTATCCATCCCTATTGACGAAGCTTGCCAACCCATAGAATATATATCTCCTAAATTTATACTCTTAATCTACCGCAAAACTGCTCGTCGTTCTTATTTTTTTTTTCTAGGCCATAGATTAGCGCCTTGAGACTTTTTTTTTCTTCGTTGGTATCACGTAATACTTTTCCAGGATTGCCCTAGGCTTTACGTCCCACAAGGAGCTTGGCCGTTTTTCGTATCTCAAGTACTTACGTACCAGAAGCACCTATATAACAGGTCTATAGGTTTTTGGGTTTATGTTCATCCGTTCAGTCGGTACGGTAGAGCACTGTAGAATTCTCATAATCGTACTCCAACACAATGGACTATTTGTATATGACTGCACTATTTTCATGGAATAGATAAACGGTATGAAAAATAAATATTTTATAGGAATTCCATAAAACGATACTTGCGTACATACATTTATTTTTAACGGCTATACGCGAACTTGCGGAAAAACATGCAAATTCTTCGTCACCCAGGGCTGGGCAGAGATTTGTGACATTGAATATACTCCATCAAAGTTCCATAAGACCCCGTGCACGTTGCGAATCTGCCTGTATTCCTAAATTCCCCTCGTACCGCTTGAATGAATTCCCATTATTTTTAATATAAAAGCCTGTGAGCACACGCGTGTATTTTTTTCAATATCAGCATAATTACATGTATATGTATATGTATATTAGGTGACTTGATTACATGTTGGGAGGTCAAGAATTTTCATTTTCAACATCTTTTGTACGTCTAGTATATAGCACGCAGGACCGAAATGTAGGAGAGAGATGTTTTTAAAATCTGTTAAGAACATACACAAAGGTGATACAGTTTCCGTGTAATCTGATATTGAGGCCAGAAAGGATATCCATATTGAATAAAATAAATATAAAATTATTTTCCTTTACTCACGTCAGTGAAGTTGTCCAGTGATAAAAAGATGAATTTTCCAGCAGTAATTCTAAGAGGTTTCTGAGCTCTTATCATTATCATCATTAGCATCTTACTGTCCCTAGGCTGCATCTTGTACCAGGGACATTCATAAACAGCCTGACTGATCGATTGAGACTGACAAAGAAATGCGACTTAAGGGTGTTAAAAATGAAATAAAAAATAATTGTCAACCAAAAAATTCACCTGATTACTCAAATACTCTCCAGCCAAACAGTACGCCAATGTCTCCCAAAGTTCACCAAGAATGAACAATCCAAATTTCATGAGCGTAAGGATATTCTTGGTGGATGAAATGGACTAGCCCGTAATAATAAAAAAAAAATTATTTTCAAAAAAATAAATAATCCATTATATTCAAATGCATCCATAAACACTCACCGTAATAAACATGAAACCAATGGTACAGATTATCAAAGTACTCGATAATACCTGAACCAATGATATATAAGAGAAGAGGTCCTCAATCTTGTCTGAAAATTCGATGACTCTTCGATGATTGGCTACAAGGACATTGCCAGCCAATAATATCTTCCGCCTGTCGTCAACAGTCCGGCTAATATCAGAAAATCGCGATATATCCTTGCGCAATAGGACCAATCTAGATCCTGCGTGTAACACCTGTGCAGGATATCAGTACAATGATAAATATTCAACACACTATCACGAACGGCCGTGTCTCAAAGGATCAATCCGTCTTACCAACGTTACAAGGAGGCTTTCGGTAAGAGCGTTCCCGGCGGCAGTTAGTACAGCCTGAAGGAACTGAACGCAACAAAGGACTTCATAGACGGGCGACACTTTACTTTGAAAAGGATATTCAGAGGGCAAAACGAATTTCCTATCGTTTATATCAGCAGCATTGTAGTGATTTATTACAACAGGCAGAAAAAGGACAACAGTCCCTACGTAAAGTCCTAAAGCCCAGATATAAAATATCCTGGACAGTTTAGCATGTTCCGTCATCACGGTCCATTCCTCGACGCTCTTAACGCTGTTCCAGTCTTCTGACATATGCTTCAAAACTTCATTGACATACCTAAATACGGGATAATATAACACTATAGTGAATAGTAAGTATAATTTGATACAATTTAAAAAAAATTCTCACCGACGATTCTTGTAGACGATGATCAGCTTGACAAAGAACAACGTCTCGGTGATGGTGACACTGAAGTTGTCCATGAGATTGTCCAAATCGTTGAAAACGCTCACAGCATCCCAGTACTGAAAAATCAGTGCTGCCATCATGAGAGACCAAACTGTCAGCCGCCCAATTCTATTAGAAGCACCAGGCCAGGAGTCAATTAATCGAAGACCAATTTCTACTGGTTTACCAACTATCGCAGTGTCCTTCATGATCAATATTGATAAAAGAATTTTGGCTTATCCTTTACTGGTATACAAATTTGAAAAAAATACTTTAAAACTTTTTATAACATATTTCGAAAATTTTGAGCATCTTACAAATATCTTGAACGATCTCTTGCCGGTCTATGACCCAACTGACGCTTCGATGACGATCCAAGAAAAGCTTCAAGATTCGCCACGCCTTCGAAAGCTTTACAGACCAATAGGATTTAAGATTTTGTGTATTCTTACGATATCCAAGGCGATGCAAATAAATCCCTTTGTTCGGTCACAGATGGATGGGTATTACGTACTGTCGAAAGCTCTTGAGTAAAATATGAATCCCCGCTGTATATTTACTATAAGATTGCGAGTTAAGGTTTTCTTTTTCCATACTTTTTCTTTCGCTTCTGCCATGTGTATCCGATCACAGATTATTTGCTTGCAACATTCAGACCAGTTACGCCTTCCAAACAGAGATACCGCTGATATTCTCGGAGGGAAGTACGTGGTACCGGAAGAACTAAAAAAGTTACTAGAAAGTTGCGCTTAAAAATTTATCTGCTCAAATTGCTCTGTGTGCCTAGTCAATATAGTAAGAAAACTTAGGTCTACCGTGACGAAAAGTATGACAGTTTCTTATATGCAAAGTTCAGTTCAGGCTCGATCGTGGACGTTCTCCAGTTCAACCATCTGAGACTGGTGCCAGTGCACTCGCCAATCTGTACCACGAAATAGAAACTGGTATCAGCTACTACAGATCGTTTCAAAAGTAGTCCCAATTACTCACATAGAAGTGTACGTAAACGTAGATGGATCCACGGTCAAATGGCTACAGTCTAATGGCACTCGAGTTACATACCGAATAAAGAAAACAAGCCCTAGACCCGCAAATAATTAACGTGTCCGAAGTACCATGGTTAAAATAATATTTATCGCAACATACCCAATTTTATCAAGTTGGATTCAATAGTCAAAGTACCGATTGAATTGAGGATGATTCTTTAATAAGAATTTTTATCAACCCGGTAATCACAGGTAAGAGTTTTCAATGTAGTCAATTTATATATTATTTATTATTAGCAGCAAGCCTTATAACTAGTCTCGGTTACTAGACGCTTTACGAATCCTTTTATTTCAATAATGATGAATATCTATTGTCATACTTTCTTTCTCATTGTTCATGCTCCCCTCGTGCCCCTCGTAAAAGGGCGTAGGGTCACTAACGTCAGGAAAGGCGGATGATCCCTGGTACAGAAGACGTGGAAATAGGGATATAAATTCAACTCCGCGCCCCAGGAAAAGATTGACCGTTCTTTCTGTTGCGCGAAACCCCAGGACTAGAGGGTTGCTCAAATAAACGAGCCATTTGCACCCCTTTCACTAGAAAGGATTCGAATAACGCACCGCCCTGACGTATCGCCTACGGTCATCGATCTAGTATTTCTCCATTTCGTTTTATTGCTTTTATTCACAGGCGTTCCCCAATAGTATTTCACATTGTAGCCACCATTTTTTATTCTCGATTATTATTAACCTTTCCTATAAAACCGTAGTAACCCACTATTCTTTTTGGCATTCAGGCATTTGTATCTCGTGACGTATTCACGTTTCGCATTAAACCATCGTTTCTCGTAGAATGAAAAAGCAGAAAATCTACCAGCGACCGACGCGAGGAAAACCTGTGGCGTCTACTGTCCATTTTCAGCCGAGCTCGTGAAACTTTCCTATGTTAGTTTGTCTCGGTGCGAAACGGGACAGTCATTTATTATTCTTCCCGACACATTTTACGAGGACATCTGCCTCACGAAATATACGAGCCAAAGCACGACCAAGATTAAGCTCCAAGCCACGAGGCCGTCCTTCATAAAGAAATCAAATCAATTTGTCAGGTATTTAAGGTGGGTATATACTAACCTATAAGATTTCTTATGAAACTGTGCGTGATATAATTAAATAATAAAATTTAATGTAACCCCGTATCAAATTAATTAAAAAATTTTAATAACTCATTTGACAGTTAGTCGTTAAAATGAAATGCGGTCTTATGCTAAGGTTTTTAAAGAAATTTGAGTCATTAGAAGTTAAGTATTTTGAGGATTTAATTAAGCTTCGCGGTTGAGTAATGACAAATAATTATTTAATCGTGGATTATATATTAATACGGGATCATCTACTTATTATCAGATTTTGCCTGATATATCTGAAGTAGTGTATCAGCGAAGTCTGACAGTCGGATTATAACTACTGTCACTGAATCTGAGGTGGAGCATTCACACTGACAGCTTGATGCGAGGGTAGATGTTTCCTCGTACTTTATGTAATTTTTTGCAATTCTTACGGTCGCGAAGGGAAGCCTAATCCGATTACAGGCTCTGCGATTCGTTTCCATGAATAAATGCCCATCCCCTATAATCAGACGATTCCCATGGGTTGCGGTGCGAATTTTCTCTCTTCCCTGTAAAATCATTCCGTAGCATCACTTCGGTAAGCTCTACGCGGGGCCGCGGGTAGACGTGGAAGGATAGGGAAGGAAGAGTTACGATTTCTCATAAAAGTACAAAAACAAAAAAAACCCATAAACAAGAAAGAAGAATGAAACAACGAAAATCCATGACAGAATAGGTAAAGCAAGGAATTTCAAAGACAGATACATAAAAATCAAATTCGTTACAAGCATCAAACCCATATCATCCCTGGATGATAAAACCAAAAATAAATCCAACCAATTTCATTCTTCTTTTTTCTCATCCCTTGATCTACCAGTAAAACCAAAACATCATACACTCGATTGAATCATCCTGGTATGATTGATACAGACGGATTTTCAGGCTGAAATTACAAGTGGTATCGAGGACTATCTTGGGGCTGGGAGGTATATAAATTTAGGAGTATCCTTATTTGAAACTTTTATGGCAAAAGAAGCAAAGTTATAAAGATGCAAAATACTAAAAACAAGGAATTCCGTATCAGCATCATGGGATTTATAAAAAAAAATTCAGTTTAACCAACATTAAAAATAATCGATAAGTCTGATCGGTATATCGACTGTCTGACCACGTGATATCTTACCTTTATTAAAGGGACTCTTTTATACTGTATACCATTAAAAGTTGGCCTCCGAAAGTGAAACTGTTCTTACGGCTCAAGCATGAAGTGATCCAACGTCACTCATCCCTCTCAGAATTTGCGAACTCTGAAGGAACCTACCCCCAAGCTTCCTGGAAGTAATCCCTAGCACCGGAGGGAAGACAAAAGTTCCTAGCTCAGCCGCGCTGACTCATAGACTCCTAATGCGGATGAGGCTGGTGGTAGTCCAGATAGGGGAATGATGGGAAGAAGTGAGGGGATGCACAGAAGAGGATCCTTGATAATACGGTACACAATACTGCCATCCATTTCTATGGGGTCCAGGTCTGATATTCAATTAGAGGTCGTAGGAGCTCGCGTGATCGTGAGGGAGCAAGGGGGTGGTGTCAGAGAAAATCGCAAGGGGTGCTCTTACAGTGACCGTTAATGGGATTCCGAACGGCTGGAGGCACACTATGATTCCCCTTAGGCAGCTACCGATGGCGATTCTTTTGGCTATTCATCTGTCATCCCTTCCCTACATATGGACCAGAAAATCACTTCTAATCGGGTGTGGGCCCTCTTCACCCTCGTCCACCCTATCGCGACTTCACCCTGCCAAATATACCCTTGTGTATAGCATATACCTCGTCACTTGTCTGTTTATCAAAAAGCCTCACTGACAGTTGTCACTAGGTTAGGCTAGGTAGTGAGCTTTAGAATGCAACCCCTTATTAATACCTAAAAATTATTCGTTAAAAGATACACATACAATAAGGGTAGCTTAGCGTGCGCCCCTGTACCTTCCCACTGCGTCATTTCGATTATATGCTAAGAACAGTTTGAAAACCGGTATTGGGGCACGTGGCATGTCCATGAGGGTCGATGCCGAGGAGGAGGATGCGAACGCGTGCCGGGTACCTTCGTACCAGAGGAAATAAGCAAAGCACGTACGTTTCAGAGAATGAAAAAAAATGTGTATTTGAAAGCGTGGGGATCAACTCAATTCCCGTACTGCGACCTCTCGACACAGAACAAATATATATATATATTCCAAAGTCTCTTCCACGTACGATATGATAAAATTCTTTTAAATCAATTCGACAGAACGAGATAACCAACGTCCAATAAATATACATATAAATGAGTACGAATAAATCAAAATCAAGGACAAAAGCTCAGAGTCGATAAGGTACGTAACACGTGTGAACTAATATCCCTCACTCTCGGCATACACTGTCATAGTACATGAGTATACCCTCTTCTTGGGGTGGCATGTCAAAATTAGCAGACATTAAGTAGGTACATGAAGTGAATTTCTTGAACCAAATTATAACTGACGTCACGATTAAAGGTCAGGCCTTGTGATGTCATCGGCTTACGGTCTACCTTAGGTCTACTGATAATAGGAGACTGGTTATTGATATTTGATAAAATGACATTAAGTTAAACGTGAAGTTAAATCGGTACCAGGTACAATGTTCGTCAAAAGTTCGAATACCAAGTAAATTCACCTAGGGCATACCCAGCTAAAGAAATTTCGTGTCTGTGCCTAAGGTCAAAGTTCATAGGTATCAGAAGTTTTTCATGCAGAATATACCGTTGTGTACCGAACAGAAGAAATACGGTCTTTCAACAAAAAAAAAAAAAAGGATACATGGAAGAGAGAGAAAAGAATGCTTCCTATGACCTGGTCCAATTTGGATGTGAAAACGTAAAGACGACATTTTTCCAGTAGATCCGCCCTAATAATGAGAGTGCCTCTATCAAAGGGACATCGATTTTATATGAGGGATGTCACTACAACGTTCAGACTGGATCGGACCCTAATTACTTAATTTGGTCTCGGCTAATGAACCCGTAATGATCCGTAGCGCGTCATCGCATCAAAGTCCCCTTTCGTGCCCTCGTCGCATAGCCCCACGAAGCTATTTATTTTGTATACCGATAAACGATACTGAAGGTTAGACCGCATGTAACGATGGTTTAACTACCCCCTTTTTAACTGTCCCCCCGTTGCCGTGCTTGAATTTCCAAAGGGCTACGTCGCGTAGCTCATGATGACATAAGGACGTTAGCCTACGAATAAATTCGCAGTACAGTACGGTCCCCGTTGGAGCCAATGGGCAAGGATTAATTAAACGGTATAATTAATTGCGATACGTATCATTTAAAAATATTATATTCATCGATCATTTTTCTGTCAGACTGACAATGGTACATAACTTTGAGTAACTGTTTAATAGGCATATGCTCTACAAGGAGAATTATGTATTAACAATATATTAAGGGATGAAATTTTATGTGACTTATGGGAGAGAGAAAAATAATTATTTTTCCCGTAAATCATATATTTCATCATAGATCTTTTTTTCGCTTACGTTTATAGGTATCCCGTTGCTTTTCTTTCAATTTCTATGAAAGACACTCGCAACGGCTTCTTAACAGTCTTGCATTGTTTTGCTTTGCAATTTTGTGTACAAAAGAGATGATACAAACAAGACAACGAGCCATGATGAAAACGAAAAAAAATAAGAATGGGTAAGACAGTTAAAAGAGGAAAAAAAGTGCGACGTAGTCGTGGAAATGGAAGCGGAACGAAAATGGACTTATGGGGGAAAGACAATCTTCAGAAACTACAGTAAGAAATAGAAAATGAACTGTTACGAGAACATATCGAAGCAGTGAAAAGAAAAAGAAAATTTTCACATATATATGAAAACAGACAAAGGACGAGAAAGAGGTACGTATAAAAATGTGCTAATATGTTCACCACAGAAATATTCGAACGAGTTAAAAAAATTAATTTTTAATTACATTGCCATAATTAACCATAATAAACTGTACACGTTCAATATCTATATACCGCTATATTTACATGTACGGGATGTACCACAAATCAATTAGAAAACTAAAAATCCTTTAATTCACAATTTTCACTGTTTTCGAAAAACATTTTGAATTCTTTTACAGTGCAGTGCAGTACATCCTGTGTAACTACACATGTAAAAAACAAATTGCACAATGATTTCGAATAAACCCGCTAGCAACGCTTTGCGAAAAATATTTCGTGTAATAAAAAAATTGCTAAATATGAGGACTGAGTAACGCTCTACATATATAGTGACGTATTTTTTGTACATAAAAAGTATAAAAATATACGCGTATACGCCGTGACGTCAATCCAATGGACGCTCGTGAAATCGGGAAGTGATGATCCTCGATGGACTCCAATATAATTAGTCGCAAACATGTAGAAGCAGCCATTTCGCCAGGAACAAGTGGTGCAGCCCTTCTTCGGCGGATCGGTTCGTATTTTACATTCCGTTGTACGCGGGTCCACCGCCGCCCTCGGGAACCACCCAATTGACGTTCTGACTTGGATCCTTGATATCACAGGTCTTGCAGTGAATGCAATTTTGTGCATTTATCTGCAGTCTCTGACCGTCGCCATGTTCAAGCGGAACGAACTCGTAGACACCTAAAACAATTCAAACAAAGGATACCGTAAGCTACGTATACTGTACGCGATTATAAGCATCCTCCCCAGCAATATCCAATCTCAACACGCCTAAAGGGTTGAAGAACCGCAGTCTGCCAAAATATAATAGACACCTTGAGCTTGTGTAAATCAACTGAAATAAATCATTTAACTTCCGAGCATTCAAATGTCCTTATCGGACTTTAGATTAGAGAGACACCCTTTAGAATTTCGAAAAGAGGATTGATTTCTCAACCCCCCCGAACCTAACAGTGAAAACGACCAGCTATCGCACCGGGGAAGAATGAGACTCGGAAGGTGATACGAAATTTTGATTTTCCTTCGAGAAAATCAACCCGTCAAGGGATGAAGGAGGGAAACGAAACGATTACTCTCGGGGCATCTTTTTTTTCTTGTTTGAGAACGTCAGCTGTGACAGACGGACATAAATGAAGCCTTGTCTTTTTACGTCCTTTGCCACGTCAGTTTTCTTCAGACCAGGTATCACCCCGCTCCAGGAACTAGAACTGGGATGACATCGAGAACAGGGATGCTGGGATGAGAACAGGAACGAACACCTCGGCGATATCTTTCAAGAGAACCACCTTATCCGCAGAGTGATTTCAATTGGTCGCCGGCCTCGTTCTTCCTTATTGGCCTCCTTACTCTTATCGGAGTCTGCTACCGAGAGAAAATCCGGCTTTTGGCCAACCTTCCTCCGGAAGAAGGGGACGATGGAAATATTTTCAAGTCCACCAAGAATACCAATGAAATACTATTGCCCAAGGTATCTCGTATCCGTAAAGTAATACATATGAAAATATAAGTAAAAGCACAAATCAACCATAGAACATCCACCTAAGCGAATTATCGCTACCTGAGCCAAGATACAATTTTTAGTGCCATTGGTACAGTCCAGCATCTCCGGTAACCGTCTTCTTCCTGGATGCTGCTGCGTCCCTAGATTTAATTACACCCCTGACGTTCTTACGTCGCTTTTGATAGGCGATCCCATCGTGGCGTATTCGTAGAAGAGAAGCGCAGCAGGATATAATGGAAAATTGCATTAGATGGCCCGTGTAGAGTAAAGTTAGAAAAAGATAAAGCTTCAGTTATAACGTCATAAACGAACGTATCTTCTGTAAGCACATATTAAAACTGCAAAACGACAGTGTGGTTACGGGCATTATGATTTGCTGCTAGATTGATAAATTATACGAATACACGAGTCTCGCAGCGCGACGTGCGTCCGTGTTTTTCAATTAGATTTTCATTAGCGTAAATATCTTTTAAAAAGGTTACATAGCACGACTACCGCGAATGAAATTTATTTTTAACTTATTTTTTTTTTTTTTTTTTCCTACTGAAATAGGGGAATCCCCGTAATGACTACTCTTCCAGACAACGGATAGAGTAACCCACTTCCATGGTTACACGCTTCCGTGCTGCCTTCTGTTTCTCTTCGCCTTGTGTACAATTTCGAATCTTTCTACTGGGGCTTCTTCTGCATCGCTTCTTCATCTTGACTGCTGCTACCATAGCAGAGGAGGGTTGCTGGCAAACGAAACTCCTCCTCTTCTACTCTAGCCCTCTTGTGTGTATCACGAGTGTGGGAGCTTAACGGGGATGGAGAATGAGATAAATCTATATTACTACACGGTGAGCCACCACGCGGAGCACCGAGCCTCGCAAGATCCTTCTGACGGGCAGGGACGATTTATTTGAATGGAAATGTGAAATTGATCAAGTTTTAAGAAATAAGAACGATTTTGTTTCGCGATTTTTTATGGGATAATAATAATGTAGAAAGCAGTAACTTCGAGTTATATGTGTTCTAAGTGTAAGACTTTTGGAGTTATCGACTGAAGAGTCAGTCAGGGTTGATATAAAAAAAAAAAAAACATTGGACAAGGGTGCGAAAGGACGATCCTAAAGGCTTACACATTATGCCACGTGTCTCAAAGGGGTTTAAGGGTGCATAAACATTCCTTGCAAGGGTCGAACTGTGGTATAAATCTCCAAAAGGCAAAATCCGAAATTCTACTTCGGATTCTGATAAGAAAAGAAAAAAGTGGCCAAAAATCAAATTTCGAGCAGCTAAATATAAAACGCAACATCTATCTGTTGCAGTATGGATGTCATAGAAATTTCCGGAAACTACTGGAATATCTATAGAGTAACATGACGCCACCAGGATGTCGGAGTCATCGGGTCTTGAGCCCAGGAACCAAGGGGTAACCAGCTCGTGAATAAGCGGGGGTAACGCGTACCCAAAGCAGCCACTTCCAGACAGTCGATAACCTACCCTTCCTCCCTGCGACGGCAGGGAAACAGGCCCGTACTCCCACCCCCGGTGTCTCTAAGGGTTAGGAACCTCCAGCGAGGAAGAACAAAGTGCTTGGCCGACAGAGGAGCGTAGGGGAAGCAAGAGACTCATGGGTATGGCTGTGGTAGCGGAAGGGGTAAGGTTGAGGGGGGGTAGAGAAGTCTGCGTGTTCCTGGAGAATTCCTGGAGGAAAAGCGTCGTAGCTAGTTCTCAGCGAGATGGGGTGCGAGACTCTCTGGCAACGAGGGTGGCAGAGAGAGAGAGAGAGAGAGAGAGAGAGAGAGAGAGAGAGAGCGAGAGAGAAAGAGAGGACGATTGGTAGACGTATAAATTTGTCTGGCTCGCAAGCGCACCCTCCACTATTCCGTCAGGAGATCAGGGGTGAACAATATAGCCCGAGGGAAAGCCTAAGGGTGTTCGAGGGTGACAATTAAAGACGAATATGTCGACAGGATGCGAGGTAGAATCATCTGAATTTTGATTGAGAAATTAAGATGTATCAGGAGTTGATTGGTACCCTTTGGGATCTTAAAGAAACTCCCCCTTTTCGGGAGGCTGATAAATTGCTGCTGTAACATAGGGATGAAATTTTTATAAGGTAAAGCAGGTCGGCTGACGTGAGTTCCCTCAGGTAATTCCTAGGTCGCAAAGGTCATGTTTTCTTTCTTAAGAACGGGGATGAACAGAAGATTAATAAGGACGAAAAAGGAAATAAAAGCTGAAAGGGATTAACCGGACGACGACCGGACCACCAAGTGGAAGTGGAGCCTGGTCGTTGGGGTTTTGGGGGTTGAGCTTGGTCGGGGGTTGTCTAGCCGCGCGGGGACCGCGATGGGGTTGTCCGGGGTAGCTCAGGTTCAAGGACACGCCGGTCGATACTCCCGGTGTGGGTGGAAAAGAGGGGTAGAACCCTATACCGCGCCAGACCAAAGGGGTTGGCGCTTGGTGCAAATTCACAAGTACAAACTTTCAAAGCACGATGCTTCATGTACGACGCGACATGACTCTAACCGACTTCAACCGGATCCAGTTTGTTTCTCAGTGCAAAACAAACAAAAGCATCAACGGAGACTCATTACTTAATCACTGTATGTAAAGGATACCATCCGGAACCTCCCGTGAAGTTAACCTTTGACCCACGTCAAAACGAGCTACCGTTATAGAAAGCCGCAAAAATTCTCGGAAAAAAAAAAATGAAATCATAGGATCAAAGTCTGCAATGCGAAAGAGCTCGGCTACCGCCGATTATAATTGACCTGGGGCAAGGGGAGTGGAGACGGGAGGGGTTACATGTAATTTACAGCAGTCATTTACCAGCAATACCCAGAGAGGTGATACTAATGCAAGAATATTTTGCATTTCAATTTGCAACAGGATACTAAGGGGATTAATGCTGATCCTTTGATATTGTGAATCTTGTAAGGTCGTTGTGCGCCATTTTGTATGCAGATGGCAATGACATTCCTTCCGTTTCCTGAGGAGGCTGGTACACGTAATGGTACTTTTCGTGACAATGCGAAAACTCAGTACATTTAGCGATTTTAATTGGACACATGAGAAGACTAATTAACCTAGTCTGCACCTCCATCGTCTCTCTTCCTTTGGACTGCCTGCCATATCACAGCAGTAAGTAGTTAAGCTATTTTTGTTGAAAGAAACCCACCAAAACTTTTCGAGAGCGAGTACCAAACATTATGTAAAAGAAAAGAATTTTACCTGAGGTGCACATGCATACGTAAGTGCGCTTGTTAGAGCTTTTGTACAACGAATTAAAATAGTGGGAGAAGTAAAAAGGGAAACTAGGATGAGAAATGCGAATAAAGAAAAAAAGAGAGGGAAAAGCCTAACGTTCAAGGAGAAAGTCCTGTAGTCGTGAAGGTTTTCAAAAAGAAGCGAATTTTTGTAAGATCCATCCTGTATCGTGGTATTATGTTTTTAAGCATTCTGTCCACTCGTAAGACTCTATTAGTCAAGCGCAGGTCTCTTTTTCTATTATGGCAGTATACCAAAATAAAGTCAGAACAAGAATCAATGAAAAACAGGCTTTACCGAAAAGTTAAAAAACTACAGTGATAAACCATAAAAAAGAAGTTGTCGTATACGGATATTTTCAAAGTACAAAACTAAAATTCTCTAACAAAAAGGAAAAAGGGGTGCTGGATCATAACGATTGATTTTTTTTTTTTTTAAGTTTCTCCCACACTGCACCGCATTTGGGTACGGTCCCTTTTTTCAACGCGTAGGCGAGAAAACTTATCAAAGACTTTAAATTCACCATTAGATGGATTTTCCATGAATAACATTTTACGACGCTATACGCACGCACACTTTCGTCATGTTGTTTTCCCTCGTCTTGAAGCTTTCTGTTTTTCTTCTTCGTAATATTCTTTCCAGCAATTTTTCTGGTAACTAATTTCTTTTTTTTTTCTTCGCCCTCTGTTTTCTTAATCCTCGAAAGGACGAAACACCACCCAAGGGGTCAGGGTGAGTCTTGAAATTAAACATGTAATCCCGCTGACAGGTTGTTAATGTGCTAATTCGAACGAACATTTCGTAGAAGCGTCATAAAGAATTATAAAAAATTGTATCAAACTTACCCGCAGGACAGAAACGTCCTTCCGGTCCATCGTAAATTCCCAAGTTCCTCTTCACTGGGATTGTGTCATCCATAAGTGTGAGATGAGGTGGTTGATCACCCTCGTGATTAGTTCCCGTAAGGGCAACCGATGACAGAAGATCAAATGAAATCTCATTGTCGGGTTTTGGATATTCTATAGGCTTTACTTCGGCAGCTGGTTTCAACTTCGAGTAGTCTGGACCTGAACAAATGAATTATCTAAATAAAAATTGTATAATAATAACAAAATATATAAAAAATAATTCTCTTATAATTACCTCCATGTGACAAGGTCCACGGTTCTCTACCGCCAAGAAGCATAGAGAATCCCGAATATATCATTCCACCATATAATCCCATGGACGTATGAAAACTAGGCCTTATGTTCCTAACGGATTTAAGTTCCTTGTAGATCCAACTGTTCTGAATTTTCTCAGTGTAAGTTTTCGGTTCGAGACCTTTAGTTAGCGAGGCGTTTGTCTCGGCATCGATAATGGCGTCTATAGCACTCTCAGCAGCAAGCATTCCACTCTTCATAGCGTTATGGGTGCCCTTTATCTTAGCCGTATTCAGAAAGCCTGCAGAGCAGCCAACTAAACAACCTCCAGGGAATTGTAGCTTTGGTAGGCTCTGGAAACCTCCTTCGATCAACGCTCTAGCACCGTAGGCTATCCTGAACACGACAGAATAAATAAATTTATAATGCCATTAAAAATGAGGGTTGAGTGCTAATCATTGATTCCAATTCCTAACCTCTTTCCACCTTTTAACGTAGATGTAATGGACGGATGATGTTTGAATCGCTGGAATTCTTTGAAGGGATTCAAGTATGGATTACTATAATCAAGACCAACAACAAAACCCACAGCTATCAATGGCGTGTCTTCGTTCAGGTGATACAAAAAAGACCCGCCATAAGTATTTTTATTTAACGGCCAACCGACAGTGTGCTCCACAGCTCCAGGCCTATGCTTAGAAGCTTCTATTTCCCAGATCTGTAAAGTGAGTAAGTATATAAAGTCAGAATCATCTAAAAACGATTACTTAAAGGACTGAATGTATGATAAGTCATGTAACCAACCTCCTTTAAACCAATCCCATAAGACTGCGGTTCACAATTCTCACGAAGGTTCAGCTTTTTCATGAGTTGCTTAGCAAGATGGCCGTGACAACCTTCAGCAAAAATGGTACACTTGGCGTGCAATTCCATTCCACGTTCGAAATTCTCTTTTGGGGAGCCATCCTTAGCTATACCGACATCGTTAGTCGCTATACCCTTGACAGAACCATCCTCATGGTAAAGAATTTCAGCTGCTGCATAACCCGGGTAAATTTCAACCCCTAAAGCTTCAGCTTGTTCTCCTAACCAGCTCACAACGTGTCCCAATCTGCAAGGAAGTGATTAATAGCAGAGCTCAATGGAAAATGCTCATCATGCTTACTTAAAAATCATAACACAAGAAAACAAAACGTACCTAACTACGTAATTACCATGATTATACATGGGCATACCCTTAAAAATAGGTATAGGGATTTTACCCTTTTCAGTAAGAAAGGCAAATTTGTCCTCGGTTACAGGGGTCTTTAGGGGCGCATCCAATTCCTTCCAATTTGGGATGAGCTCGTTTAGGGCTATGGGATCTATACAAGCTCCGCTTAATATATGGCCACCCACTGCTGAGGCTTTCTCAACCAAAGTGATACGAAGCTCACGACCATGTTTCTCAGCTAGTTTGCGGGCATGAATAGCTGCCGACATTCCAGCAGGTCCACCACCCACTATAAGTATATCAGTCTCATCGGCGAACCTCTCCATGTTTATGCCTAAAAGTAACAAGAGGATTGACGTTAAATATTGAAAAATAAATTATATTCTTTCTATATTCTAAATATACCTTTCCATCTTGGATCCGTTTCCCTTGGCACTACTGTATAGTGTGTAGTAATTTTTGGAAAAGTCCCTTCCGAGTACGCACGGTTTGAAGCAGCCTGCAGCCTCTGCACTATAACACATATAACAGGTCGTTAGAGATTTAGGACTATTTTTCACAGCCTAAGAAAAACATCAATTTTATATATGTATGTCCGCTCTCTAGAAATATACATACGAGCATATATAAATATTTGAAGAAATTTATTTAAAAATTATGTATGTGCTCTATTTGTATTACGATTAAGTGATTTTGAAAAATCCAGTACATACATATTCATTCCATTCATTGGCTGTAGTTCCGAAAACCGCATACCTCCGAAAAGTATGGTTTTTTTATTCTGACGTATTTTGACGTGCTGATGACGAATATAATAGTAAAAATACTCGAAAATTTCTCGAAAAATAATAGTTTTATGATAAAAATGCATAGAACAAAAGAGTTGTCATTTTCTACAAGCTACAATTTTTACTTAAAACTTTTTTCTCTAAAATCAATATTTATTGAAAAAATTTCAAAAAAGTATTTTTTTCTTGAAGAATGGCAATTTTTTTTAAATTAATTTTGCGGGTATTTTCACTATTATATTCGTCATCAGAACGTCAAAATACGTCAGAAAACAAAAAACCATACTTTTCGGAGGTATACGGTTTTCGGAACTTTATCCCATTCTTTAAACAATACTAACTCAGGTATAAATCAAAGTCTACGTTATCATATCAGCGACATCATAATAACGTAAACAATAGCATTTGGATTTCTTTCAAAAAATTGAACTCCTAAAAAAACATCTCTGGTTCTTAAATATTATGTAAGGTAGTTTAAATACCGACCGTTCTACGATTCGGTGAACTTTGCATTCGCAAACGTCACTACCAGTTCAAAGTCCACCGTTTTCACTGACGCATCATATGATAAACATTCTTCAGATCAGATACTAATAGTATATCGTAAGCACCTAACACCAGATATGTGGAGTCGGTAAACATTAATTAATATGAAATATTGTTTTTGAATATGCCAATGTCAGAATATCCAAAAAACCATCTTTAAGACATCAAATAAAACAGTTGTTTTCTTAGCTATCTTAAACATTACTCGATATCTGATATTACAGTTGCAATAAACTAAAATAGATACTGGACGAAGTTTAAAAAATATATGCCAACGTCAACTATTATTTAGGTTACATAATACACGTTTACTCGATGCTCACTGTAAAAAGGGAGTACAACCAATTTAAAAATGCATTCCTCAAGGAAGGATTATTAGGATCATATTTGATCGCAGAGAAATGTTAATGTAATTTACATGCATGAATCGTGAACTACTTTCCGAAGTAAAAAAAGGAGGCATAGTGAAAATATAAAATGATTGCTCGAAATATATATGTATTAAAACGTAGGTACGCGTATTGTTCTATTAGGTTTAACGAACGTTCGGTGCATCATTTATCATTGGAGTAAAATCAAGGCACCTAGCTGTCGTTTTGAGTGTAGATGCGCGACGATGACGTTACTGTTTCTTCGTTACACCTTCTATTTTTTCCGAGATCTCGTAATACCGAAAGTTTTTGTGGTAACTTACAGATTTTCGACGTTGTAAACATCGTGGAGGCCATGGTCACACACTGGTAACCCACAGACTGTTCCACTCCACCGTGAATGTTTTCGGTACTTGGTCACTTTCTGTTTTGACGGTACACTTTCGTAATACAGCGTTGCCGTTTGAAATGTGACTGAACAACGATCGCACTGCTATCTGGAGGGAATTTCATTAGGCGATTGACGCGACATTAACGGAATTTCACGAAAGTACATAAGACATGAAATGTTTTTAATAGTTGTATTTTCCAACAGTCGGTAATATAGAAAACACACTCAGTAGATAATATGATCGATTGCAGGTACTGGAGCTCAAATGAACTTCATATATTAATTTCTTTACCACCAAAAGATTTGTTGTAACCAATAACGCGTTCCGTTTGTTACCTTACGCCCGGCACAAATTCATTTTCATTACTTTACTTGGTACTATAGGCGTTCTCAATTAGCAGAATTTTTCTTACCGAATATACCTTAGGTAGTGCAAAGTTGCATTTATTGCACAGGACTAGATCTTATAACGCCAACGGAAGAAAGTTCGGCCAATGGAAATCACCATAAGAATACGTATAGTTATACAATAGCAGTATTAGCACATTGATCGAAATTACATAACTGATCGATTCTAAGTAACGTCCGTCTACCCCTCTCCATGGAAAGTATATTCCCATAAAATTTTATGAACCTGATTTATTCCTAGAATGATATTCTAATAACAATTCGGAACGTGGAAGCTACACAAACTATTCAGAGAATGCTTTGCCGTTCCTAGAATCTACACTACGCCCTTGTACCAAAGAAATTGTGCCTGCGAATAATATCACCGACGTCATAGCACATATACCTACAGGCATTTAATTATGTTTGACAAATATCTAGAACGAAAATGGATACCGTTGACGATGTTCATTTTTCCGTGAAAAATATTTTCCCGCAAGACAATCGATGTCAGCGAAAGGATAAGTACAATTACAATACACGATAACACCAAACGACATTAACAAAAATTTTCGATAACGAAACTCACCGCAGTGATTAGACATGATAAGCCATAATCGCTATATAAATATTGTCCATCTAAATGAACACCAAATACATTTTAAAGTAGCTACTTGAACCAAGAATGGTTAAAAAAGGTCGACTACCCATCTGCTCACCAAATTAAAGTGCATCAGCACTCCTATTAATAGCAATGCGGTAATCACTGACAATCAATCACAATTATATTATTGACAAATACAGCCCGGCCCAGTTACTTATCTATCGATCCAATCTGCAAAATATCCAACGTCCAAAATTACATTTACATATACTAAAACACAAACTGATTAAAATTCTCCTAACACGAGAAAATTTTTCTTATTTTCTGTCTTATCAGGAAACATGGACCAAACGGAATAATGAATCTTCATTCATGCGTCAAATTCGGGAGTATTATGGACTCTTCGAAATACAGATCGAAAACTTGCACATCAAAATTTATAAGAAAAAAAAATCTTTCACATTAAACGCCCATCCTCTTATCTGTTTACGCACTGAGAAGCCGGATCCGAAGAAATACGTCGATTCCCAGGGCAATTCATGGGTCAATTAATGATAGATAAATTTGTAAAAAAATATATGGCAGACATACCCATACACTTATACATTATATGCAAATTTTATAAATGCCGACCAATGACGTTTGTTCTAATCATAAATGAAAACGGGATTGTGATTAGACTACCTAAGATTGATGTGAAAAAAGAATTAAAAAATGAGTTATTTGTTTCTCATATGAAATCCAGTGTACAGTGATAAGGCCCATTAGCAATTGTTTACCCTGATTGATATTGCGTTATTATACCATATGTGCCACGTTTTCCTGCAAATCCACTCTCGATTTATATTGACAGCAACATTTTTTACGTTTCGCGCAGAAACACGTTGGTAAACATCTAGAGGGTTGTGAGTCAATATGATAAACAGAATTTTAAAGCCAAACAGCAAACGTTACGATTTTTACATTTCGAGTAAACAAAAATGAGTACACTACTATTTGCAGGTATAGAACGTGTTACTCTTTACGTGTTTCGTTTTGCATTAAAAATTCCAAAAATATTTACAATACCGTTCAATGCTATGCAAAACATTGGAAAAAGGCCCAAAAAAACCAGTAAATTCACGTTGAAAGGGACTTACGTAGTGAATAATTTATATTTGCTTTTACACAAGTAAATCTGATCTGGTGATCGTCCAATACATGTACGAGAGAGCAGTAAGCATTTAAAAAAAATAATGTAGCCCTTCCCTGAGATGAAAAAAAAACTGGGGTGTGTCAGTGAATCTATTTTATTATATTGCCCAATGTCTTTTTCGTTGACCGTCTACGTCACAAAATAAAGGTACACTCACACAAATCGTTCTCAGCCCATTTATTGTGTTTAGGGGCGAAAAATCCCAAAGGTGGGTCTCGCTCGTACAAATATTTTGACGAGCAAAAAAGTGCGAAATTAACGCACGTAAATTTCCACAGTGGAAAAAACCTCTAGGCAATCATATAAAATTTTTAGTTGCAATTCACTATCATATTCTTTTTATCAATATGACTATTTACCATCTAAGCACGGATCATTGAAACAACAAGCAAACCTAGTTACAGATTAGCCGTAGTTTCGCAACTGACAACAATGAATCATTTATTGTTTTTCAACGGACCATTTCGAGCGACGTGGTCACTCGTTAGCATGCACTTCGTTATGCTGCACTAATGCATATGGATATGTAGTGTTGCTACCTGCCATCTTATTTACCCACCAGTCCGACATAATCAATATTAGCTAGTCGTATGAGTCTATTGACTATTTGCTCCGTTCCACTTGGAACAACAGATATTTCGTTGTGGCTGAAAATTTTTCAAATTGATTATCAGCTTGATAAAAAAGTATTTATCCACTTTTTTTTTCCTGGTACACGTATTTCGAACAGGCACGTGTATTCGAGCTTTGTCCCGCTCTACGTAATACTGGTAATACTCGAAATTGGGTGTTGATACGTTAGTGGCTAAGGGCTTTTGGTATTTACGATAGATAGATTGGCAATGTGTATTTCGGGCCGTCCTAGGAAGTGAAGTATTTTCGAATGAACTGAAAACATTACGAAGCTAGATGGTGGACGTGCTCGAAGGTGCTTTCGTGAGATACCGCTAAACTACGACGGAGAGCCGGAAAGGACGGTGTCTCCTGGCATCGATCCAGGCCCAGTGTTACCCAATACCTAGAAAAACATGGTGTGTCTATATATCAGCGATGAGAATGAAGCAATTAATTTAGATATATTGGCAACTAGAGTGACTTCCTTATAACAATGACTATAGGTCGACTTGATAAGAACAAGAGAAACTAAGGACAAGAAAATCTGTGGTACTCGACGCGCGTACCTTGACTGTGCGAACAACCGTTAAGGAAATTTGAAAGGAAAGTTCACGGTTAGAATACAAGGAAAAGTTATTTTTAGTCGAGATAATTTTTGTACGAAGCAACACGTGGTCGGATCGTGATAAAATCTTGAGATTTTGTTTCCATTTGTTCCAAGAGGTTATATAGGATAAAAATAGAAAAATATGCGAGAACAAGAGAAACGTGTTACCTGTGTCGAAAAATACTGATGAGGCTGGTGAACGACTATTTGGCACATATAACGAACATTAGTTTGGCACTTCTTGGATTGTCAACTGGGGCGACTCGGGTTTGTACGAATTCGAAAAGTCTTTTCCAACAAGTAATTAGCGATGATTTTCGAGGACATCGAATAGACAGAAGACGTACTACTGCGAATAGAGATGACAGCAGTACTGTTGTATCTCTTAGAACTATTCTTAATAAATTTCGGAAGGTCCAGTTAAATTTAGAAAACATACGTATATGCAGTGTCACAAAGCTTGTAGAAACCACAACGTAGCATAAAGGTTCTAGTGATCAGAGATTTGAATTAATTAAAACTTTGACACGGCAAAGAAATTTATATGTGAATAGACCTTTGGTGTAAAATCGAATAAAACAATGATAAAGTCTATTCGAGCCTAAGATTGAAGCAATTGAATAAACCTTAATGGATCAAGACACAGTGAATGACTGTAATTCAATAATCTAGCCACGTGGAATGTTCCGGTAACTTGCGGATCAGAGACTTCTCCATTCTGGAAAACTATCGCTTACGGCACAATATATCAAGAAAATTGTTTTCCAGAAACGCGATATGCTCAATTTAGCTAATTTGTTTTCGCGATCTAAAATGCTCTATACGGCAATAATCCTCGTGGTGGGCTCGCGTATGCGTAGATTAGGCAAGCACAGGCCATCCCAACAGTTACAAGCACAAGCGCAACGTAGACAAGTACGTACACGTTCCTCTGCGCGCATCCAGCACACAAGTAAAGATTCCCGAGGCGATTCGTACGACGACGCTTGTCGTGGCAGACACGATGACTCCCGAAGTTACCCCCACCATAACGACACTCCTCGCATATATATAGAGCCGGTGAAAGTTTTCAAACCAGTCCATTGCACGTAGTGAGATAGTACGGTGCAAGCTTAAGCTAATCGCATTTCGAGCCACGTACACTTCGCGCAATTTTCATACCAGTGACTACCGAATTGTACAGTTCTTACATAATTATCTAAATAGATAATCAAGTTGAATCTCATTAAACAGAAAAAAAGAGGCTTGACATCGAAATCTAGACAATCGGAGATAGAGAGAGAGAGAGAGAGAGAGAGAAAGAAATAGAAAGAATAGAAAAAGTAAGCAGTCAGCTGGAGTTTAAGAAAATGCCTGCCGACGTAGCCATGCATACCAACTTCCTACAATTCAACAAGAGCAGCCTTAAGAATTCGAACATCGACTCCTGCTGGAACACAGAAAACATGAGCGGTTACATGACTCTGATTGGTCCCAACAGTCATCGCCAGAGTGTCCAGGTGAAGGTGTACCGTACCAGTGTGGAACACTTTGCCGTGATCTATCCCCAGAAGAAGGTCTGTCGTCCTCTCGGCGTTCTTAACCTCAGAAACACCACTATCGAGCGCTATGGGGATGAAGGTTTCCTGGTGAGACAGAAAGGATTCGACTCACCAATTGCTTTGACTTTCCTCATGGAGAATAAGAAGGAGCTCGATTATTGGATCCTGGCTTTCACAGCACGCTCGAGCCCCCTCGTTCATCAGAGCAGTCTTCCCATCGTCGAGGAGGAGGAGATCTAAAATGGGCCAGATGGAGATCCAGGGTGGTCGAAAGCCACGTACTTCCTTTTTTCGTATCGCGAGGGCGAAAGCCTCGCGAGAAGGATCTCTTTTTTTTCGTTCGTGTCGCCATATTTCATCCCTCTCAGCGAAACGTGTGTCTCTCAGTAAACGCGCATGGCGAAACGAGACGAAGGTGAGATTTGGGCATCGACTATGTCCGAATTTAGCTAACCGGGCTGATTCTCTAGCTTTTGCTATCCTGAAGAAAAGAGAGAATGAGAATCCGAAGGGAAGCATAAAAGTATGATGGACGACGTGACTGAAGGAATAGAAGGAAGAGAAGAAGAGAAGCATACAATAGTTATACAAAGGAAGAAGAAGAGGAAAAAATATCACCACGAAACTCAGCGTCCCTGATAGGAAGATACCAGCGAGACATATCACTTTAAACGGGGCCATATTGCATCCTGACCTCCAGCTTCCTGAACCAGCATTATCGATCCCAGCCAGCTGTGACCAATCCCAGCCTCGGCACGTCGAGAGTAAATATGGTGCGCGTCCACCGACAGATACATAGTCTCTAGGATATAGAGAAAGGACGAGAGGATCTTAAAATGGATTTGACATGGGACACCCAGTAGATCCATACCTCGGACTTTTCTTTAGCGCACAATACACCGTTAACTCTAGCCTGGCAACCGGCTGTCCAAGAGGAGCGGAAGTTCTGTCTCGTTTGTTATCCGCTCGAAACCGTCATGGCGCCACCTCCGTATTCAGTTAACCGTATCAGCTGCTTCTGGCAAGTTACAGCGTGTTAAAAAAGGTCTTCACCACTGACAGTTTTTTACCAGAGAGAGTTTTCTCGCTGTAAGAAAGAAAGTGAGACAATTCGAGGACACTATTGTATATGGCGCCGACGCACAAGGATTCTGATCAACCAGTGTTCGATCATGAGCGGTTCTATCGCGCTCCTGATCGTAATACTAAAAAATATTCTTCGTATCCGTAAAATTGTCTGTGATATATCGTCATTTCACTGGCTCATTGTCAATGTCGTAGACTCGATATTTTATTTATAAGAATATTCTTATTGGCGGAAACGCAACATTCTTCAATCCGTATGTACTCGGTTGTACTTATCGTTTGTTTCTGTAATATTTCCCTATCCGTTTTTTCTCACATATGTACAAACAGTCATCGATCCATTGTAAGCGTGTATTTGTTCATTGAATCGTCTTCGAGTCTACTGTAAATATAAGTTAAGAGTATGTAGAAGGAAGAGAATACACGTCTGTTTTTGAATATAGCATAAGATGATTGAGGTGTGTTAAGATAAATTTTTTAGTTTCTTGTTTACAACCTCTTTTCTTCTATTCTGTTATTGTTATATAGTAGACACTCGATGCACCCGATTAGTCAATAATAACTTTTGATAAGAACCTGACTGTAAGCTTTCTGTTAAGTTTTTAGATTTATCATTTAAATAATTTACTCTAGTAGACATACGAACCGTCGAACGGGACGTTATTAACAATTCAATGTTCTTCCTTGATAACGTTAAATGAAATAATGTTATGGTGGCCAGGTGTTTGAAAATAAATGTAATTTATCACGAGAAACCTTTGCTGCCTCAATATCAACCGACAACCATCAACAAAATCCTAATACAAAGTAATTTCTCTAAAGTGACTATAAAAGAAAAAATATTCCACCTTATTTTTTTTTCATACAAAGTCAATAGACATTACTTAATCAATATATCCTTCTTATAACGCTAACCAACTGTATTCACAATATCCGTTGAATTCCTGTACTACTGACCAAGAGGAACTTGTCCATGCTATAGCATGATAACTGAACTAACTACCAAACTAACAAATAATCACATGACGGTACAGTGAATATGTCTTTGGTCCTGATTTGTCTTTAAATTATTAAGAGTTCTAAGCGCAAGATCCGTTTAGCTTCTCTGAACTTGAATGACATTTAGTAAATTCTCAAAAAGTATATACTCTTCACTTTACAAGCATTTAGCTACGTTAGACAGATACTGTTTGTTGAGTACCGTTTGTATCACTCGCAAGAATCCATACCGTTAGTATAAAAGAACTAGTTGATTTTTACACGGCCAACATTTTTTATATATTTTCAAAAGAATTCGAGCGTTTCGAATCCCTGTAACGGCTTCCGATTAAAAAGCTGTAGCGCCAGGTATACCAATCTGCATAAATATATAACATTGGCTCATCCACTTTTACGCTACGTTCCTAGCATTTGCACAGCACGACTGCCAGTAAATATTTACACGATGAGAAATGCTTTTCTCTTGAAATGCTTCGCACTGTGGAGACACCGTCTTATCGCGATGGCGATTGGATCAAATGAAGCATGGATGAAAAAAGTACGTTGCGACAAGAAATATCGTGAGTCGCGTTAATACAAAGAATTTGCAGGTGAGTAGAAAATTATTGACTGGACTTCCATCTTGCAAATGTCAAGGCGACGTATTCAGGGTTGAGCGTACGAAGCCGATATTTTTTTCTGCTACTCGAATTTACTTAAAAAAAAGAAGGTGAATAAGGGAGGCGTACGAAAACAAAGACGTAGGACAGACTAAGTGAAATAGCAAAGAGAGCCAAAGGAGGGGGTACGTTACCACAAAAGGAATAGGGTGGCTTTCTGGATTGTACAAGTCTCCCTCTCCGTCTACAGGCGCAGCAAAGTCTTGTACTGTTTACTGAGAAGTCTCGGTGGCAAAATCGTCAACGGTTTTCTTGCATCTGCAGCTTGGGCACGATATCCCTCCTTATGGAATGAAAGATCATCTTTTGTGCCTAGTTTGTTATTGGGACGGTTCCCCTAACCCAGGGTCGTCCTGAGTAGACATTCAGACTCCGGTAGTACCTGCAGACAATTCTTTTCGGTTAGTAACCCAAAAAAATAACTACTTCCACAATGTAGCAGACGATTCTTCTTCCCCTAGGGGAACGTTGACCCACGGGATTCAGATTGAATAAAACTCATGGTGTGGTATATGTCAGGTATACGGGTTTCTAAACTGTAACGTTTTATTACGTGGAAGACAAAACTTTCTTGTTATTTATTTAATCCTTACCAAATTCCTGCAGTAATTTTATCTGTTTGCAGTTATTATTGATACTCATAGGTTATTCAGAGGGAAGGTTACTAAACTTATTTAAGTCAGTTGAAGCGAGTAATTCTATATTCAGACACGTCAGTTTGCCATTTATTCATTTATATTTCACGATTAGCTTCAGCATTAAGACTTGCTTCGTGAGGTGACTTAATACTGAAATAGCGGTACGTAATGAGAATTAGATAGGTTAAAGCAGGAAAAATAAGATTTTCAGGATTTCCACCAGCTCGCAGATACATGAAATGTGTCAATCATAGTGTATTAAGACTAAAATCAATATTGTATCAATATATTTCTGAAAAACATTAAAAGTCTTCGAGTCACAGCTGCGAATTTTACGAATTTTAATCGTCCAGCTGTGTAAATACATGAATACGATAGAAAACTAAAATCTCGTAATTAAAGATATTGCGCAATCAAATATTATATAATTTAAACCAACCAAATAAGTGTCGCTAATGAAAAAAAGTCAAACAAACTTACAAAGTGATATCGACCGTGTGAAATAATATTGCGAAAGTAATGTTTTTTAAATGTCTCAAGTTCACAAATCGATAATCGTTACGTGGCTTCCAATCTACTAATGAAGCAGATTTTCTTTTCGTATGCTTTAAGAGTCAAGTGACCAAAAGTCTATCAGGCCCGATCTGGACCTATGACAAACGATAAATGAAAGATCTAAAATCAAGTTGATTTGTTAATCAATACGAATATCAAGGTAGGTTCGAAAAGCCAAGATATCAATCCATATCGATACAATAAGCAATGTAGAGTAACGGAGACAAGCCATTAAGAATTTAAAAAAAGGAGACAATTCTACCAGACGGTCTAGTCTCGACGTCTCCGTAGATACAGTGATTTACGCAAAAAAAAAGTAAAACAGGAAGATACAAAACACGTCACAGATCCATCACCTCGCACGTCAGAGATCACGTCAGGATGATAATCTTACAGAAATGTTTTCCAGCACGTGAACACTACGTTAGGATGACACCGGGTCAAAGTCTGGAAGGTAACAACAAGATTATCGTTACAGCATAACTGACAAACAACGATATATATGCATGACGTATGGTACCTATACGTTATTGTAGAAATTGCTGCTAGAAAGAGTCATTGACGCCAGTCACTCTTTTGCCTCGTTTTAGAATTCTCTCGTTCTATTCTCTTGGAAGATAAGCAAAGATTCTTGTCCATAGTTCGTATCTGCTCGGTTCGTTTTAAGTGACTTTTGATTTATTCTGTAGCAAGACGTATACGAAGGATGATGATTTCTTGACATATGATAATGATCAAATTAATTAGTATGGGATCATTAGTAGAATGATCGATACGTGGGCGGATCAATGTGGTTTACGATGGCGTTTAGAAAAAAAAATCTAAAATGAATTTTTTTATCTTCGGCGTTCCCCCCCCCCCTCTCTCTCTCTCTTTCTCTAGCTCTCTATCATTGGCCTTCTTATTTCCTGTGCGGAGGCGCATAGTACGTTGTAAACTGCTGCAAGGACGAGTCCCCGGGCCATTTACTATTACTTGGTACTATCCTATATCTTTTTTCACTTCCCTTTTTCCTTTGTATTCTCTCGTACCCTGCGAAGTCATCGATCTGCTCAAGATCGGTATCGAAAGCTTTAACTGAAATTGCCTTCTCTTAACGTTCCTGCCAAACTATTCGCAGCAAGACTATAACTTTTTGAAAAGTTTGTTTTCGACGTTCGGGCAACAAGCAAGATTATTTTCTAAATTTAGATTATTTTGCTACGTCATTTTCTGGTTTTCAGCGAAATGCACGTAGAACTGTTTGTATCGCATAAAGAAAATTGAGAGAGAGACGGGATGAAGCGGAGGAAAATAATCTTTTTCAATATTACTTAAATAAATTTCAACTCGGTCGAATGTGTCTACGATGATTTGGCAGGCATGCAATTGTTTCGTGTTTCAATGAAAGGAACTTCTGCGGGAAAGACTGTACGAATAATTTCTATATATTTTTATACACAGACGATTTTAAGTATCCATGCGAAGCTGGCAGTTCCAGGGGGACTGGCTCTACGGCCCTGACCTTGAACCGATCTCGACTCCAGATTTTCTCACGCAACGAGAACAAGGAAGCGACCGGCACCGATTAAGGAAACTTAATGGAAACGAGAGAAAGCCTCGAGGGATTAAATCTTCCATGTAATCCATTATGGCGTAGTTCCATGCGCGTGCTCCTTTAATTCTTCTATATGACAGTACCTCGTTTCCGGAGAGAGATCGGTTTCCTGTTGAAATGGGAGCAATCTCGAGTAACCTAGCTACAACGCTCTCAGGATTCCATAAGCTAAATATTACAAAGAAAGGCTTTATTCTGTAATACTGATCTTCTTAAGACACCCGGTATTGCATCGTACCTCTATATTCACACCATAGCCTAATGGACCTATAGGATACATATAGCCTAAATACTTAGGTAGCTTTCATCATTACCATATTAGGCCAACCATCAGCACAATGGACGATCTACGCTCGATCACGTTTTGCTTACGTCGCCATAAAAAAAAAGGAGGAAGAAATTTATGAAAAACGTCATAAGAGGAAGTAGAATTGAAAAAGTGAGTCAGAAAAGATAAGCACACAAAAAGATAGGAATACACTTACGTTCCTTGTGATCCTTCACAACGATTAAAGGAGTAGAAATTATTTGCAATTCTTTGACTATGAATTCACCATCCAATTGCTTGTGAATAACATCGAAGACGTTACAGCATTCTTGAGAAGACCTTACCGTTCCGATGATTCATTATTGATTTTTATTTTTTTATTATGCTGCCTAATTTTTTTCATCTCAAGCAATCCCCGGTTATAACCATCGAATTGTGTAATAGTGAAAAATTCGTTTAGTCATACTATAACCATATCCAATCTAAAAATAAATAACAGGGGAACTCATGGTTGCTCAATACTTAGTACGACTTTGTATCTACGTCATTATCTTAATTTCCTGGATTGTTTTACCTTCCGCATCTTTGATAGCATGTATATACATACCTTATCCATTGACGTCATGAACCTCTAACCATGCATCACGAATAGCAAACCACACGGGTATGGTCCTAACCGTAGTACTCTTACGTCAGTCTTCTCTAGAAAAACAAATTTTCTACTTAATCTATTAACTACTACTAGGCAGTTGACCTATGACCCATAATACATGATACCCCAAGCAAATAAAGGGGCAGAGTTCACCATAGTGCGACAGCAAATACTTTGGAAATATCATTGCATAACAAAACCCATTGTACAGTGTTAGTTCCTAAGGAGAAAAAGTCTTATTGTTATCATTAAATCGTTATCACTGAATTAGTCATCAATTTACAATTGGCACTTCCGGTATGTCTCGTCTGATGAAAATTAGAGTTACGATACGAGTTCCTACTAATTTGGAAGATCCGCTAGGTCTTTCGCAACTGCTTGCGTCGGAGCATATGACTAATATGCGAAATACATCATGGCGGAATGCACGTTTGACGTCACTGTTAATCAAACCACGTGGCTTTTAATTGGTCGGAGCTATTATCAAGAACGGAAGCTCGTTGTTGCTGGCCATTATTCAATATTGAAATGAGAACGTGACGGAAGAGCAACAGTGCGATCTGGAATGAGATAGACCGTGTGCCCAGATACGTTATCGATAGGTCAATTCAATCGATTGGCATCGTCAGGGTCACTTCTCAGTGATAGGTCCTCATCCATAAATGTACATGATCATGAACACGATCAAAGCAGTAGCGATGCGATAATACATGGGACAAATACTCCGCTTTGTATTAATGAAATTCTGAGTTCTTAAAGTAGAACTGCCGGAACACGTTAGAATAATATTGGCAAATCATGAATTTCAAAGTGTAGCAAATAATTTAATTAAATGGAAGTTCGCTTATTGGAAATTCCTTATGCGCGCGCAGCTATCTCTACTTCGTCCCGGAAGTGGTCTATAAAAAGAATATCAAGCACCTACGTCCGGTATCACCACGGCACTTCAACCCTCGTCGTTTTTTTTTTATTATAGATCATACGGGTGAATTTCGAATTTTCTTGGAGGCTTTTTCTTCCCTTTCTTTATTTTTTTATTACGGACGAAAGAGAATATTCTTTGTAAGTTGCGGACGTCTATTACACCCCTAGGGGAATGACGTTCAATCTGATATCTTGAATATATCCAAATCGCAGGGGATGTCTGTGCGATTTACACATTGAAGGGGTCTACCCTCTATACTTACTCTCTTGCTCCACTGTTCTCCTGTGTATTCGAGAGGCACCCCTCTCGTTGCTATGGTAACCGACCATTGCGTCCCTGGCTCTGCGCTACCCTTTTAGCAAGGGTAGCTAGTTGTCTTCCCAATTAGTTTCCCTCTCGATCAGCCCTTTCTGTCAGGCGCCAACCATCAGCATTACGCATAGTACCTGTGCCGTGATTATGTGTATAAGCGACATAATATTTTAGGGTGGGTCCACAATGCACTGTCGCTACGTGAAACAGTTTAAGTTCTAAGACGAAACATTTATTTTTGTACAACTTATCCTCGCCACCATGTACGTATACGGCGTAACCGGATATGTCGGCTGACACCTAATCTAAGGAAAGAATGTCTATGCGTGACGAAGAGTACTTGTTTTCCGCTTCCACAAATTTTTCCCAAAAATAATGAAAAAAGTATTCTCTACTTAGGACGAATTCCATAACGCAACAATCGTGTATTTTTATCCGATAAATAATGTCCGATATTAATACATATCATAATACGTAACTTTTTCATTTTTATCGGTATAAAAACGGAAATACCAAATGTCGAACATACATGAGATAGGGCCACTTGTTTTTTTTTTTTGAATCAGTAGTATCAAATACAGTTTGATAACGTTCATGATTATATTACTTATGATTATTATCACAAAACAGAGATTATCTTAACAGAGATAACGTTTATCAATGCGAGTATCTCAGGGCTGTAAGAAAAAAGCAAGAAAATATATCCGATACCAATATCATATAATACCACCGATTACAATTGATCGATTCGATCATGAAATTGACGATAAAATCCCATCATAATTAATTCCGTGACAAAAACACTAAATCGGACCGATCATGCCCACTGTAATTGCATAACGAATCTTCATAACTTCATTCATCCTGATCTAACAAAAACCGCAATCTTATCACTGACAAACACAATGATAAAATAATTCGAAGCCACGATATGTCTTTTTTAAGAGTACAAAGTTATAATTATAAACTTGTTATGTTTTATTTCTTTTGAAACCTCCTATAAAAGTTGAAATTTTTTGCATACGTATATCACATGCGAACGCGGAAGGACCGGTTACGAGATTACAAGCGTCATGAAAAATTTCGACATTTCCAACGGATACTATGTGAGTCGTAACCGGTTAGTCAAAACAGCCGTTGATTATGTAATCCGGTAGAAGACTTGAGTAACCATAGAAAGTATTGGGTATCGATAAATCTCGGGATTTTCTAAAGAAGTCGTACAATTACATTTTTTTTCACCATAACTCAGTACTTCTTTATCCGTACCTTTCGGCACCTACTTTTCTAAACTGCACGGAAAATTACCCGAGCAAACCTACGAGAAAACAACGTCGTCTACAATAGACCGACTTACCAATCGCCGAGCGTTTGCTTCGCAAAGTTTCCATCACGGTAAAATACTCGTGCCAAGAATACACAGTGAGGATACACAGGAAGTAGTAAATCCATCATCGTGAAATCTCCGACAATCGTATCAATGTACGATACCCAGTTTCTTAACCTTATCTATCCCCACTACCCCGTCTATCCTAAAATGGAATAATACCGAGATAAAGCAAACAAACAATAATATAAATTTTCTCTACTACGCGCATATACCCGAGAACAATATCGATGCTCGAATATCCTCTGTTCAAGATCTTTCCATGACCATACGTATGTCACGTTGTCAGATTAATTTTTTTCTATCGATAAATATAGTATACACAATGCGTATCGAAGATTAAATAAATCTCCGATTAAAATCTTTTATCGGCTGTTTCAAGAGTCTCTTTCCAAGAACGAAAGATTATGAAATAGTAAATAGGTATATATTATATTGTATACAGGGTATATTAACATTCTGCTGGTGTAACGCTGATTTAAGAAGAAGACATGAACACGTGGTTCAGTGATAACGTATCAGACCCAGTTGACAGGTCTAGAGTCTGTGCCTATTATTTGCGACGGTCTTTTGTCTCCTTTCGTCGATTCCTCCGTCTTTCTCGTGACAACGATTGCTCTATCTGAATATACGTGTATTCTGGTCGATGACAAATGTAATTGACGCAAGAGAATCTTCCTACCTCCCTGCGAGAGATTAACTCACTTGATTCTTGACTCCTGAGCATCGAGCTACGTATAACCGGTGTCATCCAGAACTAATCGCTAAGGCAAATCGACAGGACAGCCAGTTTGCTCTGTGCCAGATGTGACGTTTCCAACATTGCAGTCACATTGCCATTGCGTGCTCGGTGGACGACAATTTACTTTGCACGACCTCCCTCGTGGTCAGAGCCAAGGCCAGGTTATTGGAGGCTTCATGGAATTCTCGATCTTTTATTGTGAAATACGTCAGACTTTCCCTTTGATAGACTTTCTTACAGTTAAATATCGAGGGACGATATAATCGATTCGAGTATACGATCGATATTTGGATATCGAAATAATTGTTCGTGTCGTCAATTTTAGTAATAATTATTTTGTACTTTTGAATGGGTCTGCAGTCGAGTGAATTTTCTTTTTGTGAAATTCATATCTTATCGTTATATTTGTTGGGTCAACTATGGTATCACGTGATAAACAGGTGGTCTGTGTTCTCGTCGTTACGTGCAATCAAATAATAGGAGTAGGATCGCTTGGTACACAGTATCAGTGGTGATTTTCCAAATCCACGACGAATCACCCGTTATACAGTATGCATGCATGCGCAAACGGGCGTGGAATGAAAAATTGATGATATATGGAATCGTGCGAGCAGACAGGAATCGCGCGACGTTACTAAACATATGCAAATGAACTGAACAGATTCGAAACGTGACTAAGAGCTGATAAATAATGAATGCTCAACGTTGTTTTTGCATTTCGCCTCTCATGCAAATTCGCCTTGTCAGTCTCTTTGTGAAACGTAACGCGACGGTATATCGACACATTGTCATTTTGCTCTTGCGACAGATAATCGGTAATTACATAGAAACAAAGCCGCAGGCATCGAGCGTTAAAAGTAAAATATTTATTTTCTTTTGGTTAAAATAAATATTTACCGATCCTAACTAAGTGACTGAAACTAAATATATTGCCTAACATATAACTGAAGCGAGTATATATTTTTTTAGATTTTTACTTTTTTCTCTCAACCAATTCCTATTGTACGGAAAAATGAGAAATTTTCTTTCCGCGCGTTCTCCAACTTCATCAGACTAGATAATACATCCTAATTAAAGATTCGTTTCCGGTATCCAGAAATCGGCCTCTGTTTCATCAAGGACTTTGTTGTATACCCGTTATACGTGCAACAATGTAATCCATTATAGCTCATTGCTCGAGATTTTAATATACAACCGCAACTGGCCTATAATACACGTTGAACTAATAACTCAACAAAAGGTTAGAATACACACCTACCGTCGGAAACAAGTACTACGGGGAGCGACTCTCGTGCCAGAATAGATTACGGTTCGCGATTAGAAAGCGCGTTGAAAGGGGACGCACAGTGAACACAGTGTTCATGAGTTCTGCAATGCACGAAGGTCGCTGTAGTTAACCGTGCTAAACCGTTTAATTTATCTTCAACTGTCCCAAAGGGTTCATCTACCTTAGAAAAACCTACTAATTTACGTTAACAGCCACGCATAGGTTAGGTCCCTCATTACAACCTTCATTACGGCCAGCTGCTCGTTACTCGAATAATAAATATGAATATTTTACTAAATCATATATTATACAGTGTGTTGACTCCTGCACAGTGAATATATGCAAAAACGTGTTAAGCTCGTATATATATATATATATATATATATATATATATATATATATATGTATATATCCCGTAATAATATATTCACTTTTCAGTCACCAAGCGAAACGAAGACGATACCATCTACGTGTGTATATATGCATATATTATAGATGCTACATGTTAAAACATAACACGTAACATAACCGTGTCAACAAAATGGTTAGAGTACTTCATAAAGAGTCTGAACGAGTGTAGTAATTTGCAAATGAGGATTAATGACATCTTCAGCATCCGACAAGATGGAGTTTTTCTATGTTATTGACGTGGACCGTCCCCAGTTCAAATTATCTACGCTTCTGTGGATGACAGTACTGTTCGTGACTTTGATGAAAACAAAAATTTGGGTCACGGTCAAGAAAAAAAAAAAGTGGAAAAAATTGAATATTTTTCAATAGGAAGGATACGAGGACAGTTACTCGTTCGGCATGAGCACTTTCCTATACCACGATCATGCTTACTTCGCATATTGGAGTCATTGTTCAAGCCTATGTCTAAATAGCTACTAAGGTTTGGTCCGTGATGGTTTTAAACAACAGATTAGGAGGTTTTCGATGAAACAACAGTACTGTGTAATCATAACGAAAAGCGTTGGATCTTTTTCTTCACTTCATGTCCCTGACAAAATTTGATGTACCTATTCAGTTGGCTAGCCTGAAGCAAATGTGCACAGGCTGCGAGTACATGCGTATACGCTGTATGATATCTGGCAATGAGGACGATAACCAAGAAATAATAGTCCCTCTGTGGGTGTTGTACAATGGGTTTTCGCGTACTTTAAAGCCAGATAGTCACGTTACGTACAGCATAAAGTGTATGCATATAGTAGAAGCTGGCGCCACGGCGAGACGCCTGCGTTGACTGCGCCAATATGTATCTCTGTAATATACGAGTTTGAATAGGGTTAAAAAGCCTTTGGAATCGTTTCTTTGCCGTGCCGTCCTGTATCTACTAACCTGTTATACTAGCCCTTGGAGAGCATTGCCTTTTATGCGTAGTTCAAGTATTACGCTTGGACATGTAATGGCGGCTATTGCTGTATTTGAACAAGTGTAACGCGGATCAGCTGTCAGACTGGGAAGGGTCCTGGTGAGTTGGTCAAAAATATCTAAGCGGTGACGAGTGGACCATCTATTAAATTCATGAGGCTGCGTGCGCCTGTCGTTAATCGAGATATAATACGGTGGATGCGTCATGTTAATTGTGAAGGAGTGTAAAAGTGGGAAATTTTTCTTGAAAATTTTAGTCGATGAACTAGCATCGTTAGTGGGAACAACTAGGAGGTAAGCCATTGGTCGAAAGAGTAATTAACGAAATTTGTTATGGGCAAAAAATGTATGCGCTACCGAAATATCTAGATTTACAGTTAATATAAAGAGTATATAATTCTAATGATTTCCGGAATGAGTCATATTTATGAAATTTCAATTAAATTAACTCCAATCACGTGCTGCTGGCTAACTAGGATAATCATACGAGAATCGTTCCAAGAATCGTCACAGCAACTCGTCGATTAAAGCTTAACGAATACGTGTCATTGTAGGTCCGCCAACAAGACAATTTTACAGATGATTATACACAGAGATTGTTAGAGATGGAAACTTCGCGAACTACCGCCATTAGCGCGGTGCACGGATACGTTAAATTTTCATCCCGCGAAGAAGATTCCAAGATGTCCTTCGGTCACGCGACATCACGTAACCAGTTTCAGGTACGAAGATTTATCATTTCGAAAGTGACGCTTGTTTATAATCAGCTAAAGCCATCAGGTTGTCATACTAGGACAGGACCTGATGATGGTATCAGGAACATATAGAAATTATAGGGAACTGCAGTCGACGACGAAATAAAATGTGTAGCCCAGGGGCCATCTGCTTATGACGCTCAATATAAAAGAGTCCCTCACATTTTACTTGTTGATGCACGATTCGCGGCATGTTAAAATCTGCACATAGAAACCATATGGTCCGGGTTACTAGTACTGGTTTCAATGCTTTTGCTATGGTTACGTACTTTCACTCCAGGTACCTGGATGGTCCGAATGACGTCATCGCGTCTGATACTTTCGTATAAAATATTAAGTTACCGTCCTGGTACTCGTTAATACAAGTACACCGCCATGTCGAGTATTAACTTACATCCAGAGAAACTGTACAAAACAGGCATGTAGATTGTCACGCGGTTCGAATCTACCTTTTTCGCTTGTACCTGTGATACATGTACCAGATACTCTACGTATGATTAGTGTTCCTTATGTTTTGTTAGACAACGTGTGCAAGAACCACGTGAAGTCATTGTTGACGATAACGGTAATGTTAAGATTAACAGAAAAACTTATTGAATTCTCAACAGTGTCATCTGTTTCACTGGCTTACTTACGTCAGTAGGTGTTTATATTATCTGAGTATTACTGTACACATATCGTGATACTGTTATTACTGCAAATTACTATGTGTATATAGTCATATTGCTGTTCTATGCTACAATGCAAAACTATAGTAGAATTGCTATTATGTTTTATATTATATTGTACGAATATTATATATACATATATAGTCGAAGAATATTCTCCAGTGTTCGTATATATATATGTATACAGAGATATAAGAGAAGGCAAGGCAAGAAGATCTTCGTCTACGCTTCCTCACTTTCCAATCTAGGTTTCAGTTCTGTCGACTATTTCTGGAACGAGGCTAAAGAGAGGCGAGTGCAATAGCGTCGGAGCGGCCACCCACCGTACCAATAAAACTCCAAGAGCCATGACGTTCCTAAAGTGATCGTTGATTGCACGCACCAGCAGTCAACGGATAGATACAAGTCGTTCTTTTGGAGATACTTTAAGATGAAATAAGAGAGAGAGAAAAAAGTTGTTGCCAACCTATCCAATATCCCAACCATTGTTAAACAGGTTTGGCATATTGGCTTTGGAGGTTTGGCTATGATGTCAGTCCATCTTGACACCCGAGAGCCACGTGGGCGAGCCCACAGGTAACACTAGGACTATTTTTGATTCGTTTTACAAGATTCGAAAATCAAAGGTTGGTAAGGTAACAAATGATCAAGACTCTAGCGGGATTCGAACCGGCGACCTTTGGATTTGAAAGCCTGATCTACGAGTCCGGCACGCTATCCACTGAGCCAGACATCTTGATTTAGAGTTTTACTTTTTTGACTTCAAATGAATTGTACGGTACCGATTTAAAAAAAATAAGTTAAGCAGTAATTCAAATCGATTAAAGAAGCGTAACACGAGAAATTACTTCTGTGACGTTACGCAAATCCGTAATTGATTAATTAACCATAAAAAATAACTGGTCGACATTCTATGCCGCTAAGAAACGTAATCGAATAACTCTGACGTAAATGTTCTTAGAAATCTTCCTCGTAATGAAAGAAGTAATTTGAATTAATTTGCTTCACGGTACATTGATTACTCTAGTACGATATATCTTTTCTTTGGAGTCACTGAAAATCAGCTGGATCAGACTCGTGCCTCTTACAATTTTAGAGTATGAAAACAAAGACATAACCTAACCTAACATGATCCAACTAAATATATCGAGCGACGCTTAACTCTACCTTCTTTTTCATACACGTAAACATTTATGCCTAATCGTGTAAACCAATTACACTTTAAATCGTTTATCCCGAAAAGAAATCATCAGGATTTCCGAAAAACTTGAATTTATAACTGCTGGGAAAAGATACGTAATAAATATAGACTTGGCAGCCACACAAAAATATCTAAAACAGTCATAACAATCGCGCAAGATCAAAGAACAAGAAAGTCCCAATCCTTCCCTAGATATCACAGATAGGAATGCACTCCTTGCATGTAAGATCACAAAATAAAGAATTTCTGTGGTACGTCTGAGTGCTCAAAAGCGTAAGATATACAGGCGGCTCCACAATCGGCGGTTAGTGGGCTGCAGTATCAATTTCAGAATGCCTCCAGACTGGTCTGAGGATCGATAAGAAAATAGTATCTTATTGATCATATCTTTTCATACACTAATAACAGCACTGTCCTACGTACACATAAATACGTTTATACCGATATATACATACGTAGATAACCTATAGTAAAAAGAAAACGAAAATTGTTATAAAATTGTTTGCGACCCGGCACGTATCAAGGCACCCAATATTATCATCTGTTGATTAGCAGTTTGAATGATTGTCGTTGCTAAAAAAAGAAAGAATTGTCGTATCATACAAGATAATACAATAAACGAATAAAATAGTCCGTCACGAATGTTATGTATAATCCTGACAAAATACCAATTTAAAAAAAACAGCAAGAGCGAGAAGATCAACGGGTGACGGTAGACGCACAATCAGCGCGTCTCGCACAAATATTTACCAGAGGATTGATAGCGCCTTTATTGACAGCAGTTCGTCCAGAGAAGCTGAGAGCCTGGAAAAATAACTGACAGACAAAGCAAATTCAATTTCCCTGATTATTTCTCATTGCCCGTCTATTTTTCGACGTTCATTCTTTCTCGCGTATATCTCTGACCTCTTTAATAATTTTTTTATCAATTGTACTGGAATTGCACGAGAAACTCTTTAACGATGCTCTGATCAAAAGTAAATGTCTTGTATCACTTTATTACAGTGATTCAATTTTTAACTTAATGCTCGATCATCATTCCCATCATTGTTATTCAGAATCTCTTAGAGAAATGCTCCGTACTCTATACCAGTAGCGTCCATAAGAGAGAACAGTGCTGAAAATGTATCCGTGCCAGGGACGTGCCGCGTTTCAAAACGGCCCCGTCCTATAGATACTCGTCTATTCCCTTGAGTCCGTTTAACGGCATGTTTATTTTAACACGGCCGGACATTAATCAGCCACGCTTGTTCGTGGTTCCTTTGCAGATAGACGAGCGAGTCTCTCGATAATGGAACATTTCCTGTCGCTGATACTTTAAATAAAGTCCAAACAACATCTAGTCTAACTCTTGTACAAGCTACAATCGAATAATACGATTTACTAAAATTTTAATTGCATAAACAAAAACAAATGGTTCAAACAGTTATTATATCTATAGTCAATTACGATCTGTCTCAGATGTTGACACAAGTTATTTCACGTGTCCCAGTAATAAAAACACGAGTATTTAACCTGCACGAAATATGACTGTCCTTTCGTTGGTATACGGTCTCTTAGATGAGACTGGAATAACAATTTCAACCACGTGTTAGCGTCGTGGGACGACGCGACGTGATGATCATGATGAGAGTAAAACTCGTTTGTATTTCCATTGGTTGAATTTCTTGCTGGTATAGATCCTTTTCCTTTTCACCTTATATCATCGCAGACTAACAGTGTATACGAAGAGTCGCGGTCGTGAGGTGGCTTGGCTTTCCGGAAGTTACGTAAGCCAGACTTAGTTATACCTATTGGATAAATTTGCGCAGGGATGTATCTATACATAGAAAAAGACAGGCCATATGACGTGAAATGATAAAATATACAGAAGTTACATGTAAATATATATAAGAATTTACAAAAAAAATTCTTAGAATTTTATCAAAAGCTTCTCGGAAGGTCCTTGTTTATTAAGCATCGTGACGCTACTGGAAATGCGAAATTAGTCAGAGCCATGGAACTGGAACGAGATTATTGTGCGCCTGCCGAGTGTCGCTAAGGCAATTCCGCAATTGCGTCATTTCTGGTGCACGTGCAGTTTTATGACGAGCGCGTGCACCCGTGAATTTCTCAATAGAAAAATATATATATTGGCAGAGAGCTAGAAATGGAAAAAGATAACTCCAGGAAAGCAGTATCGATTAGATTGCGCTGAACTGACATATAGTAATCGATTTCAAAGATGACCTAAGAATTTTAGTCAATGACGAATCCGAATGACCAATTGCGATTTTGGCTTACATTGCGTGCTACGAGAGTGACCTGTGACAAGTCACACCATACTGATCACGCTATACAGAATTCTTATGAATATGCGTTCGTTACACGTGGCTATTATACATACGGCTGTTTACACGCTGTCGATTTATAAAATTTACGTGAGACCGCTCACGCGCATGTAAATCAAAAATAAATTTTGTCCGGTCGTTTCTGATCTACATCACGTACGCCACTGGTCACCAGTTGCAAAAATCATTATCAACCAGGAAAAGATCGCTTGACCTGTCTGAATCACAGATTATGGATTTGCCATACTCGTATTTTTGTTCCTTCTTCGACAAGTCGTATTCGATATCCGATCATGAGATTCTCGTGTTTACCAAGAATTCGGAAGAGACTTTACCGTGACTCATATACCTCCATGACGAAGATCCGCGCAATAGCGAGACGCCTCTGAGGAGTTCAGGTTTTTGCTTTTACTAAACTCTATGCTTGTAAAAGCACACGAAACTTCGAGCGTGACTCATACTGGGTAGCACGTGCTCTAGCAATATATATGAACCACCTAAAGAAACGTACAAGCAAACACTATTACTTTGATAGGTAGGAAAGTTTATGAAATTTAATTGTCAATGAACAGGTCTTCATTACATACTTAGAATTTTCCGTATTAAATTATTTACATACTGTGTATATGTATATATTGCGATTGCGTAACACGGATTGGCACGATTCTCCAAATCAGTCCTTAAATAATCCTTCTGACTCCATTTTGGCAGGTGACCTAATAGAAAATTCATATCTTGCATAAAGAAGGATTTCCATGTTCTTGAGAATAGCTGCGAATCTTCAATTACAGCGTAACTACGTACGTTCCTCTTGAAGACTAAGCTGTCCCATGTTACACGTTGCGAACCAGTATGCACGTGCCTACTGTGCATTGACGAGGGTCCTCGAAAGTTCTCGAAAGCGGCCCAAAAGGGATCATTAATAATGAATGAACCCAAGTCCGATTAATCAGAAGTACACGTGCCGTGAATTAAAACCTATACACACGTTGGATTGGTAACGTGACGACTCTACGTCACGATAGGAATTATTGGGGTAGCGTGGCCTCGTTGGAATGTCTCTTTTTTTTTGGTACACTGTTTTGCCCGGGAGGAAACACGTGCCCTGGAAGGTCACGGGACTGTGAAGAGAAATTATTAATTGACGCCCTTAAGTAATATTTAACTTTGACTTCTTTCACAGACGCTTCTGACTAGCCAGGAAGTGTAGCGGGTTGTAAGGGATTTTTATACGCTGTAATGCGATACTGTATGTATTTTCTTTGTTAACTTTTCTTCTTATCCGCCATCTTGGCAACCCTTTTTATGGCGTAGAACCTTTGTAAGGATTCTGATATCTTGATACGGCAATGCGACCGTGTGAACGAGGTCTTAGTTTCCATGTGCTGCGATAGAATTGAAGGCTGAGGTCGTTATATGTTAATTCTGTCATATAAGCGTCACCGAGACCTCCTGTCGTGTTTCGTTAGGAAGAGAAATTAGCATAGAGCACAGTCGGAAGTTTATGCAAATGTGGAGGCTCGATTTGACTGTGTGACTTATTGCACGGGTGGGATATTTTTAGGGAAGGGATAATTGTAACTTATTGATAGGTCATGATAGCTAAGAGTTTTGCGTGACGACGGAAATTTTTCATCTTGGCGTATGGAATTTCTAGGAGCTGCGTATGACATTAGATCTAATTATTGTTCAGACTCCCGTCGACGCTGCCGCCCCTAATAAATTCCTGGTGCTTGATATCGAATAAATTTACTACGGCGCCTAATCGACTCGACTACGTCGACCCCCTTGTGCAATCATTATGCAAACTGAGAGACGGCTGATAAAAAGGCGACGTTTTGTTTTATGAAGTTCTAAAGTGTCTTGTAAATTTGCACTTTGGTACACGTGCGACAGTCTGATAGAAAAGAGAGATTGCGCGTTTATAAATAAAAGGATAAGCAAAAATTATAAATGGATGAAACTGTAATGTACTGATAACATTCTATTCAGAAATTATTGCTATTTTGATGTCTGATAAAAGTTTTTTTTTTACTAATACTCAATTTGTTTAGTTCTCATTACGATGTATTATTTTAACTCGCAGGTGATGGCTGATGAATATTTTAATTACGACCTGGATTGTCATTTTATTTTAATATTTTTTAATTTTAATCCCAGACCCCATATGTATGATAATTTATCGATATTTCAGCTTCTTTTTTTTTTGTAGTGATAACGTCAACCACCCGTGAAATGTAAGAATCTATGATCTTGACCTGAGTAAATGTATAAGGATTAAGAAATATTTTTATTGTTCCATTTTATTAGACGTAAACCACTAGAGGGGTTCGGTTCGATAACCTTCCATTGACGCAACTAGTTTATCATGTTTACTGAGTATAATGGGGATTGGGTCAGAGACAAGAAGCGGGATATGATAGTATAAGAATATAGCGATAACATTATTTTCTCTGAATAAAAATTCTATTAATTTCAACGTTGTTATCAATCGCAAAAAAAATGTGCTTGAGTCATCGAAATTGTTTTCCACCTTAACGATCAAGGAAAATCTTCGTAACTATCAAGGACGGAATTCAAATCTCTCTCATAGTGTTATTCCATGATGCGCTACGGTGGCGCTGTAGTCTACAAAGTGACATAAACACGAACTATATCTCTGCTTGAGTCTTCCAACGTGTCGCTACGTGGACAGCCAGAATTTCCCGGCAAAATGTCAACTGATGGCAGCCCGCCAATATATATTTCTAAGAACGAACGATAGAAAAATCTGTAAATTCTTACTAAACGACTGAAGTGATCTCTTTCTCAGTTCGTATATTCCATATTTCCGTGACAGGTCTCCTGAGGTGACAGTGTCTGCAACCATATTCCTGGAAACGTAAGCGGGAATTTGTTATACCACGAAATACTGTGCTAATGTATAATTTTAATCTGAACACTCAACAGAAAAAAATATATTTCAACAGTGTTAATTAAAAATCAAGACTGTCTCTCAAGTCTAAACCGAATAGCAAATGACGTCCATGACCTAACTGTCAATGATGCCTATTTGACAGGCGTTACATCACGACTCCTGTCACTTGTCCAATGCCTGAGTATGTAAACCTCGAATAGCCTTATATATATTTATTCGAAGTGTTACTACCAGTCAGCTGATGTAGATACGTAAATAAGACATACCGTGCTAAACCTGTTAGATGCTTCGTATAATCGGCAGCCATACTTTCCCTGAGGCTTTTCCATGCTGATGAACACCGGTGCTGACAGTTACATTTAAATAATTCTCGAACGGGTCAGACGGCAAGTCAATTCTACGTATAACCTCGAAGGAACCATGCATTCCTTTACAAAAAAACAAAGTTTGAGGTTAGGAGTGTGACGAAGTGAACCTATAAGCCGTAAGGCGACGAGAGTAAGTCGCCAGGCAGTCTGGGAGGTTTCGAGGCCTGAACAGTCCTCAAAGAAATAATGACGTATTGGACTATGTCCAAACCAGACACGAACCTAAGTGACCTAATATATCTCGCAACTAAGACTCCTAAGAAAGAAAGAATCCAGGATGTAGCACAACGACTCTCATTAAAAGATTGGCAAATTGATTTACAGAAAGTGTTGGACGTGGATTACACAAGCTGATGTAAAAGTGACAAATAAAAGGAGTACAAAAGTAAAAGTCCTTTCTCCAGTTTTCTATTAATAATTTACCTAAGGAAAAAATACGTGCACTATCCGAAGCGTGAGGTGAGTTTAAAAGTTTTACCGTGCCTATGGTCATGTACGAATGTGTTTACAGTTGCAACGGCCAAAATTGATTAAAATTCATATCAATCACCACTACTGACGTTATGCAGACATTTTTTTCTTTAATATCTTCAACAATACGAATACTGATACAAATTTTTATGGCTTACTGTACTTTTCGTACTTTATCCAATTTTTGACAGATATCTGTTTACCGTCTAATGGACGTGACTGTACGTGCTGAGAGATATGAACAAATCCGTTTGACTTTTGCTAGGTAACGTGGCCACGGCTTTTGTTTTCATTCGTATACAAGTTTTTTTTCTTTGCAGGCTGCAAATAAATTTTTCTCTTTACGGAGGGAGAGAGTGACGAAAAAATTGGCAAAGAGAGAGTGCACGCTGTGAGTGTGAATACGACAAAGGAAGATGTAGAGGTTGCTTGACTCTTCTTGGAAAATATATCAGGGTTCAGAGACCCTATGTAACCACATAAAAAGAGTAAAACAACCAGTAGACCCGCCCTCTTGGTAATACAATAATAATAATGCTCGCTAAGAGGGAGACAAAAGGTACGCCATTATTGGGCTTTGATGATTCCGCGCGGATTTCAAAAGTCGTAAAGAGAACTACATCTAATTATAGTTGCGTCTATTTCACAGCGTTGCAGGGCCCACGTATATTTTCGTAACGCGTAAAAAGAGGCCGACTTAAGAAAAAAGATGCTTACTAGCGTCTCTATACCGAGTGGTTAAAGTGAGACACTTCTTGGTAAAAAATAAATAGAGTTTCATCCCTTTCTTCTCTCGCTGGTATAGCCATCACTTTCCTTTTTCTTCTCTACAAATAAATGTATTCCCACCGAAACATTACCGGTTGGCGCGGATAAAACGCTACTTATAATCACTTCTACTATCGTTAGAGATATTTTTCTCGGAATAAATTGTTGTTTGAATGCTTACGGAATAGGTGATATAATAAAATTGGACCATGACGTCATCAACGCTCAGGGCCAACTAGGAAGAATCGAGACAACTCCCGAAAACGAACGAACTGGCACGAAGCTTTCTCAATTAATAGAGGTTGCAAATCATTCGAGATTACAAAAGTTGATAACCTATTCTCTATGGGGTAAAAAGTTCAGATTTTTCCTTAAAAGTTCTTTCTAATTTATTACTTTCATTTTAGCGACACCCGTCGTTCATTTCGTTAAGAACTTTTGACTCACCGAAAAAACCGTCAAGATTCGAAAACTGAAACTTTCACCTTACGTTCATAGAGAAAAATAAATTTTCGTTTAAATTTTTTTTTCCCCTGAATTTGAAACCCTTCTGGTACGCCTACGCCAAAAACTTCACGGGTGCTTCGAACTTTATCAATTAATTTTATCACCCACGGGGATTTTATTTTAGACTCTTATCACCATTAATCTGTATCTGACGATTTGGCACAAATCATCTAAAGTTACAAGTGACAGAAAAACAAGAAATTGTCAAAACATTGATACACCGAAAGAAAACATGGAATCGTTATCACTTTAAGAAGCAGCTAATTATTAAGCATATTTTAATGAAAAATTCAGATATTTATAAGGATTGCATACAAAACTTTTATATAGAAGTTTGAGTAGTTCTATAGTTAAACAAAAATTATCTTTTACAGGAATGTCTTCTGGGTAGACGCCAAGGAACAAGGAGAATTATTTTTGCAATTAGAAGGACGACTTGGTCGTCATGAACGTAAAAACCAGAAAAATCTACCTCGCCTTAAGGACGTATCACATTCGAGAATGCTTAGTCCAGAATCTTAGGATATCGCCTGATAAATCTTACGTGTGATCCCCTGGGATTCGTATCAGCGTTATTCAGAAGATCCTGAGTAAACTTAAGAGTTTTCAAGTGATTAACATTGCTCAGTGTTTCCTGAATTGATTATTTTTATTTTTATCTCGTTCTTTTTTGTAGCTCGGACGAAGAGGAGGATCCACCACGTGGTTATGATCGTATTTCTTATTCCGCATCCTCTGCTCGTAATGACAGTGATTATCCCAAAGGTTATGACGTAAATGCCGAGTCCAGGTATCATGCATGCTGGTACAAAAATTCAGCATCCTTGAATAAAACTAGGATCATTGCCAGATAAAATCTCACACGGGTTATTGATTTGTATTTAATTGGCGATGATACGAGTGGGAGGTATATCATCGACGATGATGATGATGATGATCAATATAATTATACCTTTTACCTCACACATTTTAATTGAAGAGAGATTATTCCATTTCTGCAACGTGCCCAAGCCATGAGACTTACTGGGGTAATGATATGAATTGATAAAATGATTGACGTTGTCCTTTACAAGAAATCCGGAAACGTTACGCCGTATTCTCCAATAAATATGTAACACAATGGTCGGCCACGTGGAGCAAACTTTACAGTCTCTTTTAATGACAAGAAGTATCCGTCCAGACTCAAGAGATCCAAGATGGCTTTTGAGGAAACGGATGCTGAAAATAATTGGGCTGATAGCCATCTACACGTAGAACACACTGGACATTCCTATTGTCAAAATAAAGCTTCAGACCGTATCTCTGCTGCCTATACAGTAGAGACTATTCTGACAATCGCATGGTAGTGTATAGTTCTCACAGTCCAGACAAAAAGATACTTTTCTCCCAGTGCAGCACGAGGCTTCTTGATAGAGCCCGCATACGGTAAATTAAAATATAAAACAGCAGACTATTATTTCATTACACTTATATTCATTTCTTATACGTAGAATCCATACAGTTGGACGAGACACCATGAATTCTTCATCTTTTCATCTAACAAGACAAGAGTAGACAGCATATAAGCATATGGAGCATATGGAAACATTTAATATGGCTGTATCAACTAGTCATGAGCTCTCTTAGGACAACATCTATCGTCATTTCCCAGCCGAAAATAGTTACGCGCCATTGCTGAGCAGCCATTATTACGTGAGGAGAATTCGGAAGGTTCGCAAAGATGATCATAATCAAAGGTTTTCTTATTTCCGGGCTGCACCCGTCAGGAACGTGTCCAGATGGTAAAACAGAAAAATCTTGTATTGCCTTAATGCACATTTGAAATGAAAAACATACTCTTGCTTCAGATGTTTTTACAACATAAAAATTACATATCTGCCAATGAGGAATGCGCCAATGGAACCTGCAGAATGTCTCACATGTTCAGATGGAAATGAGGAGTCACTGAGTGAGGGTGGCTTGCAGATGAGTCAGCCAGGTCGAAGACCCCGGTGTGTCTGGTCACAGGTGGAAATGTCTTACCTTGCAGACTGCTATATTTTAACATGCAAGTAAATCCGCTATAAAACGCCCACTACAGAAGGTTAATAATTTCATTCTCAATTTCATTCCGTTTAGTAGTCCCAAGGTGCCCTGAACCGCTATCCTGAATGCAAGGACGAACGTGGTCTCGGAGGATTTACATGAAAACGAGGGTTTAAGAGCGTGGGACGCTCGTAAGAAAAAGCTACAAGTATACGAGTACCAGGTTGACTTTAAACAAGGATTTCTGGCAAGCGTTAGATTTCATATCCTGAGGGAATGGCGTTCTAACGTTTGGGAATGTCCCAGAATATAAACTTCTTGGGCAGATCGATGAAACGCCTGAAAGAAAACTTGTGAATGTCGAATAAAAAGTATCATGGCTATGGTATTTGGTTACTGAACAATACTTTGTAGTTCATCAAGTAAATTTCACGTATCTGCAATACCAATGTAATAAAAAGATTTGAATCTGTTGTGTTGAAAATCGTTTCATCCACTTCTCAGGTAGATATAAGAGGCAGTGGATTTCAATGTACGAACATATCGAGTACAATTAAAGATCGATTAGGCGCGCTTGAGATTGAGAATGAGATAATAATCGTTAAATATGTGACTGATAATGTTAAGTGTATTAACGAACGGGAAGTCAGCGTCTTCGGAAAGGGTAAGGCGGATACACTGAGCTCAATATTATGGCAATGGATCGTTGGAATGTTTTTCAATGTTGCGCAGCGATATCGTCTATTGTTTCCTGGGAAGACTATTCCTATGTTTTGCTAAGGCATGTACATGCCACTGATACGTGTTGTCCATTAACAACAGATAGAACATTTTCGAAAAAGTGAATAATATCGAATAGTCGTATGATTAATTCCAATAATAGATTTTAGGTGGTTATATGACGAAAATAAAAGGACGCTATCTCAGTGTAAATTTACAATTAGCTTAACGTATCTCTGGTCTCACGAAAAAATACTTCGTCATATACTGCGATACGACTGATCATATGGTACCGCGTTATAAAGTGAATCATTTTTTTATTGCGAGCAAAGAATCATTTATAGATATCATCAATACGTGGATCAGATTCATATATTGTATGATTATCGTGTACATCTTTATGGAAATATGTATCAGTACTTTAGCCATTGCATCGCGAGTGCGCGGGCATTTGAGAAGGAAATCGATGATAAGCGGGGAAGTGTATTGCTCAGTGAATACTTTAGTTACTGATATCTTTGTTTTAGGAATAAAATTATAAAGAAATGTAGGTTATTATATATATATTTAATAGAAATATAAGACAAAAATAATAGCTAATGCTCTTTTGACATCCCTGGTGGGGATCGAACCCACGACCTTTGGATTAGAAGTCCAACGCGCTATCCTCTGCGCCACAGGGACTTGAAAATGTTTGGTGCCATCTACAGTATAACAGAGATTATAGGTATTTTTAGCAAGATGGCGCCACTGTACTGACGCTGTGCTGCTTGCTCAGTAGCGTAGAGAGAAGATGAGTACACTTGCACTTTAAATTTCACCAGGAATACATTCAGATATTAGTTTCTACACAGATCAAGGCTTTTGATAGTTATAACGTTGTATTTAGAGTACCTTGAAATGTCTACAACGACATAACCGTATTACCTAATTTAAAAATCATCCTATACATGTAATTCGAAAAGCTAGCGTAGTAACTCTGAATTTCAGGGTCCCGTAATATCTACGTCCCTGGTGCAGAATTCACGTAGTCAACACAAAAACGGGTTCCGTAGAAACCGCGTAAGAAAACGCTGGTAAATCGAAGTGCGTCGTCCCGAGGGCGTCTCGCAGGGGGTTATAACGAACGCGAGATAAAGGATGGGCTAAGGATTGCGTTATCAGTAAGAAAGACCTGAGGGTCGTGAAAAGTGCCGAGGCCAGGAGACAAAAGGTGCAACGAGAAGGCAGCTCCTCGTCCAGTGGGACAACAAGGAGAGTAGTGTCTGGCTCGGGAAACATGGCGGCTCCAGAACATATGACAATGGACGGCGGGCTGTCGCTAAGGCCGCGTTCTTCATGGATCAAGGAGATCCAGGTCGTCGCCGTCGTCCTCCACTGGGACTCCTACTGATTCCCGGTGGCCAGACACGCGCGTCCGTTCAAGGATCAACGAACGTAGAAGGTAGATCGGATCGGTTTTGACGGGATCGGGAAGGATAGAGATCGTAGATCTCCGGGAGCCATGACTACGCGTGGAGAATGGGCTCGATCGCTTCGGTGCTGCAGTGGCATTGCTCGGAGTGCTCTCTGATAAATCCGACCGAGAGCGCGACCTGCGCCAGGTGCGGGACACCCCGTATACGCAGCGATGAAAGACTCGGACTAAGGATCGACCTGCCAGAGGAAACCTCTTTGGAGTTCCCAAGAGACTCAGCGTCCTCGGGTTCTAGCCCGCCGACACCACCACCTCGACACAGAGTCTGTAATATTAAGCAGGACGACAGAATTCTTGCTAAAAATATAACAACGGATCGGAGCAACAACGAGACTCTCCTCCTTGGGTGAGGATCCTTCTGGTTTCCTCGACTGTATTCCATTTCTTATTCTTTATTGTTTTGTAAACACATGAGAAATATATATTTAACGTCTTTTTTTTCTTATTTTTATTTCTCTCTTGATTGTCTTTATTTGTCCCGTTTTGTTTCCCACCAGATTTTAGTGGCAGTTTTGTTTAACGTTTCCGAGCAGTTAGTATGCATCTTTTAGTGATTCGTTGAATTGATAAATACTTGTTTTTAATCAAGCACTGACGCAGTATTCGAGTCAAGATTCTATTTTAGGAAGTCCTTTCAATCGATAGTTAATTGGCTGTGCAAGCTGAAGGACGGCTTTAATAAAAGGATTATTGTTTTTAATCTATGGTAAAACGTCAAAGGATTATTGCAGGACTTATTGACACTTGTTGGCAAATCGCTATTGAATGGTTGTAATACGGGTTAATGAGTACATGTGACACATCCAATTGCTTGATTGTTCATGTTACAGGTTTGACGATAATAATTCCGCGTCGAATGTTCCAAGCAAGAAATCGCGTCGCGGTTCATGGTCAGGACAGCGGAATGACACGAAAGCGTTAAAGAGATCTTCGTCGTTGCCTTCTGTTGTATCTCAGTGGACTTGCGTCCGTTGCCTCTTGATAAATACTTCAAATTCTACACGGATCTGCACAGCCTGTGGCGGGAGTTCTTCGATAGCACAGAACCAGAAAATTCACATTGGTGTACGACGTAGTAAGCGATCCGATGTGAGAAAACCTAATGGTCTCAGAGCAGAAACCGGTGTAGATCTGGTAACCACCCTGGCATCGGGGCTGGTTGCCCGAATTCTAGATGCAGGTTCAGGAACAGTGCGCATTCCGGCGGCTGCCGACAAATCTGGAACGCGAGGTAAACTCTCATCTTCTACGGGAAAAATATTTTATTCGAGACCTTTATACCTTTTCTAATTTACATCTAGGTATGGCTCAGCTGACCAGTATAAGTCGCAGCGAACGGACCAGGTCCAACCGCGAGGAATGGACTTTACCGCCTGTCGAGACAACGGAGTCGACAACGACGCCCTACTCAGAAAGCACCGAGAGCAGTAGCCAACAGTCCCCAAAGCATCATAGTCCGTCGGTCTACGAGAGGGTGAAGTCTAAAGTCAGTCGTTCATTGTCAAATGGTTCAGTAGTACAGAAGCTGACTGAGTTGACCCTCCAGAGACCTACGAGTTTAATCGTCTCCGATGCGCACCAGGATGACACCCTCTGGAGCTGTGATAATTGCACCCTCGACAATGCGCCAGGATTGGAACAATGCGAGGCATGCGAGGCACCGCGAAGTCCTGCTCCCTGTAGCGGCGTCGTTATCAGCGTTCCTGCTTGGGAACCCAGACCGCTCTCATCCTCGGGACCGCTCTCTTACAGGAGATCCTTCTCCGAGGTGGATTCTGTCACCAACGTGACGCAAAGGAAGGCTGCCAATCGCAGGAGTCTAAACGACGAAGACCCGCCTGCAGTGCCGCCACATTCCATAGGTTTCAGTTCGAAGCCCAAATATTCTTATATAGGAATTACAGATCCTGATACACCGCCGCCATTACCAAAGAAACAAAATACCAAGTCGGCATTAGGTGCTACCAAAGCGCACAGTGAAGCCACCAGTCCGGTTGGCGAGACGTCTACTGTGAGTCCGCTTAAACGGATGTGGACTTGCCGAAAGTGTTCGTATGCCTACAATCCTTTGTGGTCGACCGGATGTGATATATGTGGGTCCTCTAGATCACCACCTTCCTTAACACAACCGAGTTTGATCACTGTTACCAAGGATGGTGCTGGTTGTCGCACGCACGTTCAGTCACCTATTGTCGTGTCCAGGGACAGCGTACGTTATATCCCACCTAAAGCAGCAACCCTGGCTACTGCCGAATCTGACCTAGACGAGCAGATAGAATCACCCTCACCAGCCTGGACGTGTAAGAAATGTACCTTACTTAATGCTGCTACCAGGACCACCTGCGAAGCCTGTGGAGGCTCCAAATTACGTAGTGTGTCGCATCTGGAGGATCCAACATTAAGGAAGGGTGAAAGCTGGGTCTGTCCATCTTGCACATTAAGAAATCCATTGACTTCACAAAATTGCAATGCCTGCAAGAATGTCGCTGGCTTCCTCGATGTACCTAGAGATAATAGGGTATCTGGACAAAGGAGTCCAAGTCCTAGATTAGCGTGTCCGTCGGCTGTGAGTTCTAGAGCTGTCACACCAAGGCACAGGAACTCTGTCAGGAGGAATGGATCAGGTGCTGGTGACAAGAGACACTCCAAGTCCAAGGATTCCGTTTTAACTCAAGTAAGTTCTGCGCGATCAACGTGGAGCAATTCTTCTGAAACTATTTCTAGGCAATACTCACAATTCTGATTTCAGTGGCAGTGTAAACTGTGTACTTATGAAAACAAAAGCACAAACGGCAGCTGTGAAATGTGCCAAAGCTCGAAGACGCTGTCACAAGTTCCAGGTGATAGACTGCGTCTAAGTGAACCTGGTACCAGCACCCTTAGAATACAGCGACAAGAAAGTGTCGTCATGGAGAACCTTAGGCAGATCGAAGAAAGGGAAGCCCTTGAAAAATGGGAGAGGATTGTTCGATACTGCAAAGAGGTATTCCTCAACGAATAATTTTCCTAATTGATCATACTACTATTTTATTTAAAACGTTTTTCCATTTTTCTTCGTCCAGACCAATGAACCGTTTGTGGATGATTCCTTTCCACCAGCACCGAAGTCCCTGTACTATAATCCTGCCGATACAAAGGACAACCACGTCGTCCAATGGAGGCGACCTCATCAAATAAACGTCGATTCTAGCGTCGATTCTAAACTCCCTTGGGCAGTCTTCAGGACGCCCTTACCTTCGGACATTTCTCAGGGTGTTCTTGGAAATTGTTGGCTACTCTCGGCATTGGCCGTCCTGGCCGAGAGTGACGAGCTCGTGAGGAGGGTTCTGGTTATGAGGGAGACCTGTCCAGAAGGTGCCTATCAAGTGAGACTGTGCAAGGATGGCAAATGGATCACTGTCCTCGTAGATGACTTGCTACCCTGCGACAAAAGGGGTCATCTCGTTTATTCTCAGGCTAAGAGAAAACAACTCTGGGTACCGCTTATCGAGAAAGCCGTTGCTAAAATTCATGGATGCTACGAGGCTTTGGTTTCCGGTCGTGCTATAGAAGGTTTAGCTACCCTGACAGGTGCGCCTTGTGAAAGTGTACCCTTGCAACCTTCAGCCCTACCCAGTGAGGATGAATTGGACAAGGACCTCATCTGGGCGCAGCTACTCTCATCCAGACAAGCCATGTTTCTTATGGGTGCCAGTTGCGGCGGGGGTAATATGAAGGTGGACGAAGAGGAGTACCAAAGAAAGGGCTTACGACCAAGGTAGACACTAGGAGAAAAAAGAGAATGATAGAACGTTGTCTAAATATCAATTTTATTTAATCCTAATGGCGCAATCTGTTTTTTGATTCCAGACACGCGTACTCTGTTCTCGATGTACGCGACGTACAGGTAAGTTCTCAAGGATAATCCGACAAGGATAGCAGTACCATGTTAGACAGCGTCTAAGGGCGATTTCGAAAGGCTGGACCTGATGTCTTTGGCAGGGAATACGATTGCTGCGACTGCGAAATCCTTGGGGCCACTACAGTTGGAAGGGGGACTGGTCGGATGACAGTCCAATATGGACTCCGCAGTTACGCGAGATGCTAATGCCCCATGGTGCTTCCGATGGCGTCTTCTGGATATCCTTTGACGACGTCCTCAAGTACTTTGACTGCATCGACATCTGCAAGACACGAGTGGGCTGGAGCGAGGTCAGACTACGCGGGACACTGCCACCATTATCATCCTTGCGGCACTTATCATGCGTCCTGTTAACCGTCCTGGAACCAACCGAGACTGAATTCACATTATTCCAGGAAGGTCAAAGGTAACTTAGACAATATTAAAAAAAAGACAATCTGAACAGTTATCTGTTCCTATAATCAATGCATCATGGAATTCTTCCAGAAACTCAGAGAAGTCTCAACGTTCACAGCTAGATCTCTGTGTAGTTGTATTTCGCACCAGGTCACCAGCTGCTCCAGAAGTCGGTCGTCTGGTAGAACACAGCAAGCGACAAGTTCGCGGTTTCGTCGGCTGCCACAAAATGCTGGAACGCGATCTATATATCGTAGTTTGTCTCGCTTTTAATCACTGGCACACAGGAATGGAGGACACCTCCAGTTATCCAGAGTACGTCCTGGCCATCCACAGCTCGAAGAGGTTGCTCGTCGAGCAGATCTCACCACCAGCATTCGTCCTAGCTGACGCGATTATTAGCCTCACCTTGGCCAAAGGACAGCGACACGAAGTAAGGAGTCACTAGAAATAACAGTCTTCAGAAATAGTCATGTCGAAACTAATGGACATCTTCATCAGGGTAGGGAAGGTATGACAGCATATTACTTGACCAAAGGATGGGCCGGGCTAGTCGTCATGGTCGAAAATCGTCACGTGAACAAATGGATCCACGTTAAATGTGACTGTCACGAGAGTTACAACGTGGTCTCCACCAGAGGACAGCTCAGGACTGCCGACAGTGTTCCACCACTTCATAGGTAAGTCCAAAAGGAGACAGATAAACAGAAATACAATATTTTGATGCATTCTCCTTCTACTTGAAACGTATGTTAAGTCCCGTATACGTTTTCAGACAAGTGATCATAGTGTTAACACAACTAGAAGGCAGCGGTGGCTTCTCTATAGCTCATCGTCTGACGCACAGACTTGCAAACAGTGGAAATTTACACGACTGGGGTCCACCCGATACTCAGCATTGTCCGCAAATTGATACCCAGGTCGAAGGTCTACATAGTCCCCGTTTAATAACGTGAAAAGTGTCTAATGACGAAGACATAACTCGGGAATACTTCACAAGAGTCATTTGCTGAATGGATATAATACAAAGTCCATAAAAATAAAAGCAAAAACGTCATCGTTGTTGTTCATCGTGAACAAAGAAGATTCTTGTCTGTCACGAAGCTCCATCTCGAAGAGTTCGTTGATGATGACTGATGAAAAACGATACAATAAGATCTAAAGCATTGAATTCAACGTGAAAAGCCATTTGAATGGAACACGTGAACATAGATTATAATCGTCCTAAAATCGTCGTCAATATTCTATAATATTCATTGAACTTCCTGGAAATAACATTAAACGGGACCCCGATGCGGACTATGATCTAATTTTAATTTGGTGCAGCAATTAAAATGCTCACCACTTAATGCGATACAATAATTAACATTTTGTTACCTAAATATAAACATGTGCGTAATATTTGAAGGCAACAGTTGCAGTGATATTATATTTTGATCTCGTAACAAGAAAAGAAAAACAGACAACGGAGCGTCGCCATGTCTAATCAGCGTTATGACAAAAAAATCTTTTCAACTGATAAGACTTGCACATCGACAATACGTGCATAATGAATTATTATTAAAGCAAATCGTCACTTTAATTCAACATGGCGATTCTAAACTTTAATCCAAGAGTGAATACGAAGAAACAGGAAAAGAAATGACGGAAATTTCTGCGCGCTGTAATACGAAAGAAAGGCTAATTATTTTCTCAACGTAATAAATAAGTGTCCAGCGAATAAATGACAGAAGTTAACGAGCATCGCTGATATAAATATATATAAATATAAATATACACTAATTGTAAATGCAACAACAAAACTAGGGATCATTAGAAGAGTGTGATAATCGTGTACGCGTTGTTCTTTGGAATTGCTTAGTGAACCTAGGATCGAACACGTGTCGAACTGTATTTTCTGAATTTTATTATTTTAATGAACAAAGGACGATCGTACTTAGATTCTTTTTTCGTTACCTGATCGATACATTTGTTCTTTTACTGTCTCTCACTTTTCTTATCTAATTCTTGTCAATTTTCATACAAGCTAAATTAATCACGTGTATTCACTGGAAAATATTAATTGAATCCAGCGCCAACATTCATTTCCATTCATTCCTGTACGACAAACTCAACGTACAGCGTTCCAGCGTATATAAAAATATCGAATGGCATTTATCACATAGATTTAATTCGATTGCTGTACCTTTGCATTTTTAATTGTAATAAGTCGTTCCCGAAGGAACCTCAAAGATTTTATTCGCGTCTTTTTTTAAAAAACCGGCGTCTAATTTATTATCGTTACATTAACTAAAAATCATTGTTTTCATTAGTCTATGTATAATTTCATATCTTTTTTCTTTTAATTGTTTTTTTTTAATAACTGTTAATTTACCACCCTCACAACACAATTCCTATGAATATACCGCATGTACTCCTACGACAGGCTCGCGTAGCAATTATAATGCCAGCTATCGATATTCTCCGCGAAATAAGGAAAAGTGAATGTCACGGATTAAATGTCATACTGCCATATTACAGTGCGTGCGTGAGTGCGTGCGTTTTAAATTCCCTATCGCATCGATCAATCTCAATGGCACACAGAAGAATTACACGAGGATAGATCTGATCGTGGTCGTCGGAGTTTCGTCGAGATCGACCTATAAGAAAAAAACAATTTTTTGTCTCTGCGCCCTATGTAAATTAAATACGCGGTGACGTGACAATATTTAAAAAAAACAGGAGAAAGAAAATGCTACGAGTAGCCGACCGGATTTTTTGCGCCATTAAAAAAAAAAGGAAAAAAACAATTTTATGAGATAACTTGAAAGCTCTGTCCCCGTACATCCAAATCATTCTAGTCATCGGTGTAACTTATTTTTATCATTTACGACAAAACCAAAGATAATACCACGAATAGATGAATGAATGAACGGTTGTATCTATGGGTATAGCAAATGTGTGTAAGAGTACGGGGATGGTGATTACTCAGAGTATTATTATTATTATTGCTGTTATCAAATAGAAAAAAATTTCTCAAATATGCATTATCATTTTTGCGAAAGAAAACCGTAATCGTCTGCGTCTGGCCTAAACCGAGATATAACGGTAGTTTTTAGACGTACCTTTAATCGTTCACCCTAAACGTGGCATCTGGGCGTCTACGTTTGTCTAAGATCGCGAAAGCTGAAATACGTATAAGGAATAAAGAAGTAAACTGAAATAAAGATAATTGTCATTTTGTGCGGAACAATTCGTTGTACTGCAGGTTTTTACCGGGGAAACAATGGTGGCCGTTGCTTGCGGTAATTTCTGAATTGAGTGGCCTTCGTTTTTTCAAAGAGAGAGAGAGAGAGAGAGATAAAAAGGAATAATGAGAGAATGAGAGTATGAAAGATTAAGCTTATAAAAGAAAAAACAGACCTGATTATCAATGAAAATTTTATTTGATTGACGGATGACAGAATTTTGAAAAGGGAGTCAACGAGACTCGAAACACGTAATACGATACACGCATAATGATTATTAATGTAATTGAAGTAAATGACGAAGGATTACTGTCCGAGCTTTTATGGACTTTGTTGAATTTTGTTGTATTTTTTTATCACTCTTATCGTAGAATTAGTTATATATGTATATAATAGAGCGCAGCTATACAGTCGAATTCGAAATATTATTGATGAGCTGACCGCCGGTGCCATATAAAAAGTAAAGAAAAAGAAAAAAAGAAAGAATGATGCAAAAGAGAGTAAATTGAATATTTAGAGATCTATAAAGCCGATAATGATCACATAATAATTTTTTAGACGACCTGTCCCGTCGCTATCTTGTGAGCTATCCGTGGATCTTGTTTCCCTTTTTTTTCCACTCCGAACAACAAGAGCAACAACAGGAAGAAAGAAGAAAATTCTATTTTACATATTGCATAGCCAGTGAGAAAAATAATATAAAGCTGTTCTACGTGTAATACTCAATCAAGCCGCGGTAATCTTGCCGATGTAAAATGGAGTCGTTCAAAAGAAAAAAATACTCAATCGCCCAAGCAATGAAGAGAAGAAAAATTATTTTTTTTTTCAAATCCAACAATGTCGTAAACGACTTCATGTACGATCGGCAGGTTAAGTAGTAATACTTGCACAACATTAGAAAGCGGAAAAATTAGCATGTTCGTCGGCGTCTGAATATTTTAGCGGTAAAAAGCGTGGATTTGAAGGTCTTTAGTGATGATACGAAAGTGACAGCAAAAAAAGAGAGAAATAATTGTGACAAAGGAAAAAGACAAATATTCCATTTGTACATAAGGAAACGTAAGAGAAATATTTATACTATACAAAAGAGGGTGACAAAGATGGCCGCGCGCACACATTGCTTGTGAGTTTACGTTTCGAATTGATTTGCATGCGCTTTTCATCGTCGCTGTCGTCGCAGCGTTAAACTATGCAGTAACAATTAATGGTAATTATATAACGAAGTTAGTAATATACATTTGAAATAAAGATACGAACGATATATCCGAGCTGTCTGTTAAAAATTATACATTCAGAACCGTACACGTGGTGTGTGTGTAGATCGAGTGATTGTTTTGTTTGTTTTGATTTTTTTTTCTTCAATTTATTAAAACCAAAATTTTAACGCTAATGGCATATTAGTAGGATTCGATAAACGGATTGGTCGGATTTACCGTAAAAATACCTAGGCATATTATATTCTTAATATATGAAGTAAAAAATTAAAAAGGTGTCTCATTGTATTTGTATGATAGAGAATAATAATTACGGTGTCATTTCATTGTCATTGAGGAATTCATTAACACTGTAAATGATACTGCGTAAGGGGTGCTTTCTAAACTGTACGGAGTCATAGAAAAATGTGTAATTGTTGATCGGGAAGCCGCGACGGCGGGCTATAAAAAATGACGTCGATATGAAATATGATGTATGACGAGAGTTTAAATTGCAAGAGCTGGATACTTCTATAAGGATGCGCCTTCTCTTGTGTGAATTATTAGTCGTGGGATGTTATATTATTTGTCAGATTAATCAATAGAAAGATAATACTCTCTCTCTCCGCCATGAATTTAGAAACACCCTGTACGAACTCGAACCAGCAATCAACTTTGTGATAGTCTGTGTAATGATCTGACAAACTTTACTGAATTAATTCCCTTTTCTATGGATAAAAGTGTCTAATTAATTAAAACTACTTAAGGAGCGATTCTGGTTTGGAGCGCTAAAAATACGTGGGATTTGATAACTTTTTTATTTGTTACAAAAATATTCCGTCTATTCATTTTTTATTTTGCAGGGAAGATTTGTAAAAATATCGAGGCAATTTTCACTTTATTTTGACGCTATAGCGTCAATCTGAGTGCAAGCAAAAGATTTTAAAATTTTAGGATTAAGAACGATTTTTGCATGAAAATTAGCTGCGTCAGTAATTTGGGGTCATAAAGTACACCCTCATGTTCTTCGTGAAATTCATTCAAGGACGCTTCTTCATTTTTTGTAACAAGTCGAAATTCTTTAGTGGCCTCCGCGTTCAGTCTGATAACCAGGCACACGCCGCACACTTGGATTTATAATTGTGCTGTGTAACGGTTAACGGCCTGCGACTTTGCCAAGTTTTGGAATTGCAACGAACTATTTTAAAAAACATTCTTAAGACTTCAAACTTTAAGAAAAATGTGTAAAATCGTTTTTTTTGACTCGACAAACCAGAAGCTACCCTTAATTGCATAACGCAAAAGGACAGAAACACATATATATCAAATATTTATTACCATATTATAAAGTGATATCCAGATTGTGTTGTTCCCCTGATTTGTATCATGTAGGCACGTTTAATAATAAATCGGAATATTATCTAAACTCTGTCTAGTTTTATCTATTATCAATCAGTAGATTTTAGGTACAACAGGCATTTGCCACATGTTGTTTAAATATTATACTCTTATGTGAATTTAGTTTTTAGTTCTTTTTTTATTTAGTTACGTCTACTATGAAACATTCTAGGTTTTCGACTTTCCTCGACTAAACTCGGGAAATTTCGGTCCCCACTTTATTCCTTCGTTATAAGCTACATTCCCTCTGTGAGTCCCTCTTCGAAGCATACGTTTATAGTTTTATATTAACGTTGACTAGCAATACTCCATTGAGTACTTACAATTAGGTGCAGGAAAAAGAGGGAAAGGACGTATGCTATATGATACCGAGCAATGCGCAGCAACGAAAAGTTACTCGATATTTTTAATGTGTGCTTGTATGCGTCGAGTCCGTACAGTTGTGTAAAATTAGTAAACATTTTTGCAAAAAATCAGTTGTTACGGAAAATATAAAAAATTGTACAGTATGGCATCGTCAGGTTTTGGTTTTGGAGGCGGCACTGTTACGTGAGTTTCATTATTATATGTAGACGTCTCTTAACCTCTTTGAATCTGATTTACCTGGTTTTTGGATTTTAGATTTGCTATGCCAGCTACATCTGTCCAGTCTCAAGCTTCTAGCTCATTTCTTGGAGGTGGTACAACTACTACTACCCCAAGTCTTTTTGGTACACCAGCATCTTCAGTGGGTACAGTTACTGGACTTAATTTTGGTTCATCGACAACTTCTACTGGCTTAAATTTTGGAGCTCCAACTAGTACGCCTGCTACTGGAGGACTGAATTTTGGATCTGTTGCAACTACTACCCGTAATGTTATATCATATACATTTTCGACTTGTTAAAGTGGAAAGCAGGAAAATAAGACATTTTTTATTGCAGCGTCTCTGTTTGGGAGTAGTTCTGGTGGACTTTTTGGTGCAAAGCCAACAACTGCAATACCTGCTACCACAATCCCTCCTACTGCAAGCAAAGGTCTTGGTGGCTTAGATGTTTCTGCTACTAGTAAAGGACTTTCTCAGGGTAGTAATAGTCCCACTGCTGCTAAAGAAAACTTAATACCACATGAGCTAATGCTAACAATTGAAAGTTTCAAGTAAGTTATTCTTTATGAATTTAGTTAGAATCCATGAAACGTCACCACAACAGATACAGTTAATTATAGTTAAATAATTAAAAGGGAATTTGTGAAAACACAAAAGGCGATCGCGTCAGACATAGCTAGAGGCTCAGCAAAACCTCTGGATCGTTGTGCAGAGGACACAGCCTCCCTGATGGAGATCCTGACGACATTAGCTGGCTCAGTACAACGCGATCGTTCATTAGCTGATAAATTAAAACAAGATACGGCAAAGGCACTGCAGTATGAAAACAGTACACCCTTACAATTCTTTACGGAATTGGCTGATAGTTTCGAACATGATCTGATGTTATTTAGATCACAAATAGAATCGACGGAGAAACTTATTCAGACAATGGTAGCGCCAAGGACACTAACACCTCAAGGTTTGTGTTTATTACAAAAATAATCACAATAAATGACGAGTTAGAAATACCTTATTTTTTCGAATTTTCAGAACTCACTATGGCAATGAGCAAGTTGCACGAATCACTTATAGCTGTAGCTGGTAGACTACAGGAAGTACACTCAAAAGTAGAACAACAAAAGGAACAATACCTAAAATTCAGAAGATCTTTCTTGCACGATTCTACTAACGTGTTTGAAGATGCAAGGTCTAGTGAAAAGATTAATAGAAGCAATATTGGAAGAATTACTAGCGGTCCCACGCCTTTTGGTACAGGTAAAATGATTCCAAATTTTTATTTATACATATTTTCGCCTTACAATGATAATACTTATACTGTCTCCATCGTTTTAGGTAATAAAAGCTTCTTATCGTCCACAACTTTAAACACCGGTCGAGCACCAAGTTATGGGACGCCAAATCCTTTAGGTAAATAGTGGTAAGATTTCGTCCTATGAAAATCTGTATAATCACTCACATATGCATTCACAACCAACCTAAAAAATCCCTTAAAGATGTATTTTTATCTGTCGTTATATAACTGTCCCATATACGTGTCCTACATTTAGGTCTTGCGTGGATCTAGTGTGAGGTAGAAATTACTAACATATAACACTTTTATAAAGCATAAGAGTTCACGGACGTCAAATCCATGGTGGGAGATGCACAGAGTACTTAAAGAAGATAGTAAGATTAATTTATCCAAATTATCTTATTAACACGTCCGCTAGCTCTGGCTAATCCTTAACGTTATATTCTACATCCCTGCTAGCTAGTTAATATCAAAAATCTGTTAGATACCGATGACAAGTTATACCAACTATCGTACATCACATATAATAATGTCAGATGCTTATAGTTTCTATATCTTCCACCGACACCTTTAGAAAATTTATTGTACGCACTACCGTTTAGACTACGATTATTTGATTTTTCTGTTTTGCCTTTGCAGGGAAAATATAATGGCCGTATTTTAGTTCTTAAGGTATTGAAACTTTTAATATCGTTTATTTGTGTTGTCTGTTAAATCTGGGAAAGAAATTTTGGGGGCTTGCAAAGACCCATTGCCTTGACTAATATTCTTCAAACGTGATTTACGTACAATAATCGGTATCCAACTATATTCATTTTATCATGTACGAACTACCATTATGGGATCAAGTAACTGTTTACCTATGTTTTCGGTATGTTTCACAAACTCTTGTATCATTTTTAAAAATGTCACGATTAAGCTAACTTATCTCGTGCATTCAACTAACAAAAATTAACCGAATGTTTCCCCACCAGCATCCACGGATAGTGGCCCGGGATTCAATAACCAATTAAAATACAATCTATCATTCGCTAATATCACGTGCACAAAACATTAGCGTGCTAATAATTTGTGCTGTTTAATATATCGCTTTATTCCTCATGCGTGCTTTATATGCTATTTTTCTTACTTTTAACATAAAATATATTTTTGTTTTAATTATAAAATCAGTATAAAACGCAATAAAATAATTATACGTCACTTCTCGATACTTTGAACGTTACAAATCGTCCAACAATCTGTTGAGATTAAATTGTTTGCTAGTCAACAATGATTTATTTTGTTCGAATCACTTATCGCTCACGGCACGTTTGCGTGCTGTGTATCATTGTGGCTGTAGAATATTTTATTTTTACAAAAATAAATGACCGGATTCCTATACTTTTACATTTGCTTTTTTAGTCCTGGCCATTACCGCGTGACTATATAAAGCAAATAGTTATTTTATTGCATCGTGAGAATGTACATAAAATTGTTCCAGCCTGGGGAAGCGCCGCGCCAATACAATCAGCCACAAATATCTCCATTGGAACCGCTATGAAACCACCTACTGCCAGTTTGAATTTTAATCCACCAGCAAATCTAACGGCGCCTCTTGGAGCTACAGATACCAGTTCGAGTTTTCAGCTTCAAAAACCACCAGTTGGAAATAAACGAGGGAAACACTGAGTAAATTAATACACACACTTTGCGTGCAAGTTATTGAACAGTTTTTTAATTTTTTTCTACGCTTTTTTCTTGTATTCGATGCCAATTCGTGGCCTTATCTTCGTCATCCTTATCACCCTGGCAGATTTAATGCCTTCGTAATGGTTGCTATGCAAAAACATTTATTTTTTGTTACAATTAGGTTTTCATACTTTTCAATCGCTATGGAACATGTTTATGACATGCACCATTACATTCTTGAATTTATATTGAGAACTCATGTCTGTTGTGTTTTCTCTTTGTTCTAACTACACGATATTTTTATTCTCGTGTGTCATATTCTCCTATAACGGAATTAATCGTTATCGCGTTTAGAGCGTAAATAGAAAATAAGCTTATCTTGACTGTCATTCTTCTTATCGTGACAGATAGTTCGTAAGGAAGTATGTTTTATAGAATATTTTGTCATCGCGACAGGTATGTGTCTAAAGAAATTGTGAAATAAGTTATTCTCTCCGAATATACTTCTCCGTGTATTATTGTCTATTTTTAAAAAACTAATGATTATTGGGTAAAAAAACTTGAAACACATATTTGATTAGTAAATTAACTGTTTTATAATAAATTATTTCAAGGATCCAACGTTTGATACGAATACAACTTTTTTTGTATAAACTCTACTGTTTGTGGTATTAAAAAAAGTATAAATGAAGTGTAATACATAGTATGAGTTAAAATTTGCTCTAAATGGCACCGACTTGAACAATTGGTATTAATAATTTAAACGCATCTTGGATGTATGAACTAGCATTTGCGGCCTGAAACAAATACAATCAAAAAACAATGTAACACAAACACTTTAATTTATAGTTAAATCACCTGATAAAGAATACTCACCTCCAAGAAAATTGTTGTAATGTTTGCATGTATTGATTGGGGCTTTTCGGCTGTTTTTGCTAATTCGTTTAGATGCGTTGAGAATAAATTCGCAACGATTCCGATTTGACTGGAAAGAATTTGTGTCAACTGTACTAAAGCATCCGCTTCGTTCACGGTGCTTCTGTGTTCCTTAATTAAAAGTAACTCGGCTGTTTTATGGAACCTCTCCACTGAAAAGGCTGTGAATCGTGCTAGAGTCGACACAGCATGTTGAAAGATTTCACGATCCAAAGGAGGCGAATCAGTTGAAGAAGATAAAGTTAAATAAGACCTGGTTTCCTCCCATATCTGGAAATAAAATAGCAATTGTAGAATTTAATTTATTTTACTTCGAATGTATTGGATCGATTGAAATTATCTTACATCAAGGAGTTTATCACAGGATACATCAATACCCAGATCCTTACAAGCATCCTTAAGTCGCTGCTTCAAATCCTTTTCATGATCCTCATCTTCCTCATTCTCGTCGCCAAGATCACACAGTTCCTTCACTTCTTCTAATGTTTCCTGGAGAGAATTTAATTCATCTGCATCCAAATTCATCAAACGCTGCTGTATCTTTATGTTACTCTGTTTCGATAGCATTTCTAAAGCCTCCAGATGTACCAGACCTTGATAGTCATCGAACAGACTTTCAAAGTGTACCTTTCGAGCTATTTCCCTTTCCTCTAATGTCTTTTCCTCAACTTCTGCTTTCTCTTTAGCTTCTCTAAGCATCTGAGATAGTATAGGCTTATCGGTTTCGTTCATAAAAAAAGCTCTTTTTTTCTTCAATCCTGGATCTCCTTCCTGGAGAACTTCCATAGTCTTCTTGCCAATAGTTTCCAAGGTATCCAAACCACCATTAATTACTTTGGTACCAGTAGACTCTACCAGCTTAGTAATGGACGAGACACCAGATATAAGATTGCCAAAACCAAAGGTGCTCTGAGATTGGGTTTCTTCAACATCTTTGATTTCATTATCTGAAATAATGATTGCCACTTTTAATACACGTTTAGCCTGTAAAAAACCTTTCATTTCTCAAGTGCATTATATGTGTCTCAATTCTTTGTAACAATTTCTGCTGCATAGTCGAGATATGAATCACGCAAAGTTCGGAACGATCAACGCTCGTTGGCATTGCAATTAAGTGAGTCATGTAGCAATTTACCAATTAGTTTGTCCTACACACTATGGTAAATTACGATGTAAACGTAAACTCAAGGCTAGTTGCGGTCTGTTAAATACGTCCCTGTCGCCAAATGCCACTCAGGCCAATTTATTATCCGAAACAAAGTATGTTTATGGTCATATATGAAAGTGACTGTGACTAGACAGACATCAATTTTAAATTGGGATAATTTCTATTCATTGTAATCTCTACACAAACGTCACCTTAGCATAAATATTATTTAGTGCAGTGATAGTTTTTACTTATAAATTCATATAATAAGGAATAATACCAGTTGTTTCGGTCTCTACAAGATGCTCCTCTTTTGCCAATTCTGCTGGGTCTGGAACACCAATACTTTCTTCGAGCAAACTCAACCCATGACTGACATGACTACTTAATGTGGATACTCCAGCGCTAGCTGTATTTAATAATGAACTGACACCCCAGTTACCCCATCCACCCCATCCGGATGTATTTTCCTGACTTTGTCCTACTAAAGACAGTTTTTCCAAGACAGGTTGAATTTTTAGCTCCGTTAACTCATCAGGGATTTGTATGTTGTCGTCCATTCCTTCCCAGCCATCAGATGTAAATACTTCTTTAAATTTTTTATTTGATTTTAACTCTTCTGGGATTTCCATGCCATCGATGGTCTCGCAGCCTTCCCAGCATTCTTGTACATTTGCTGGTTTCGTAGGATGATCCCATGCACTGTCCCATTGCACCGGTTTTGCATCTTTTATAATATCATCTACTGCGGGTATATGCTCGATACCTTCCCAGCATTCTTCTATTAAAGGTACCTCCTTTCCTTCAGCGAGAGCTTTTTGTCTAATTTGATCTGGAGTAGTAGCTGCTATCAGAGCAGGCTTATCAACATTCTCTGTTGATATTTTAGAACCTAATTTCTTAATACCCATCTCTTTTGGCTCCTTAGGCTTCTTAAGCCTCTGAGTTCGTTCCCTCGTACTCGCACCAGATTCTACACTAGGCTTCTCTGAACTAGGCTCATCCTTTACCGCAGCCACTATTGGTTCTTCATCAGTCTTTGCTTTATCTTCTCCTTCATTCTGAAAACATGTCTGAACAACTTGTCCAGCAGAGTCCTGATCAACTGTAGCTTCAATTTTCGTATCAGTAGTTGATCTTTCCAAAGATTTATTCCTAGCTAACGTCGCAGGGGAATTTTCAGGTGCAACCGCATCTGTCCCAGATCGTGGCCCAAGTGCTTTATTGGTCTTAACCGGAGCTTGAACAACACCAGCGAATTCTGTATCATCATCAGACTCAGAGTCGACAACCGTCGGTATCCTGGCAGTCACTCTCCTAGAATACATTCCACGAACATCCAGCTCTTCATCAGCGCTTTCAAAGTCATCACTCTCCGAGGTCGCCATCGTTCTTCGTACTGTTCAACGACGCCGAACACTCTCGCACCACCAAGTCGCCTTGTTCTTTCGTGCGATCAAATACCGTTGTAGTTTTGACAAATTTATAAAAGTCGGATTCTTTCTTTTTTTTTTACATCACACATCTCATCCGTGCTCCACGCACATATGCCAAACGAAATAGTCACGTGGACAGGTCCGCCAGTGTAGATGCGACGTAAAAATCATACGCTGTCGTGGCAAGCTTTTAAAGCGCATGCGAGTATGGCAGAAGAGGGGGAATTTTCTTGTGCAGGGCCGTCATGTTTAAACCAAGGAATTTTTACATCCTGGACTACCAGTGCGGCTTCGTGGCGACGCCTGTGCTATGCTGATGGCAACCTGGCACGTGGCTAGTAAAAGGGACTCAGCATACGATCCAGAAGTAGTGGGGAATATATTCGCCCCGTTGTTGAAATTCAGTAGCGTAGAAATACGTAAAATCAAACCTCATTCTAACCTAAGCATTCTAATCATGACTCTAAGGCAAGCTGTCCAGAGTTCATTGGTTACATTTTCGCTAAAGTCGACTAAAAGTTGAAATACATTGAATGTATACCTATAGTTCACTAATTAGAGATATGCAGCACACGTATTTCATCTCTCAACTTGACTCCGGTGGAAACATAGCCATTGAAAAGCAAGACAACTTCCTCGTATGATCTGTGTTAGAAAGAAAGCAGAGACTTGCCAGACCATATTGAAAACAGCTAACCTACTGATAGTGACTAGACAGATGTTCTGTCTGAGTGATTCCTTGCAAAATAAATCAAGCATTGATTACGTCGGCCTTGAAAGATCTCTGTAAATGATAATCCTAAAAATACAAACAGCTTCGACGAAAGGCTTCGATTCTCAAAATACATACGTATTTATATGTTTCAGATCAAAAGATTCATAGTAACAAATCCTAATAAACATTTTAAACACAACTGATCACCTCGATTTATTCGTAATAATCATTTTGCCAGACTCAAGGTAAGCAGTAAAATAAAAGAAAGTAAAGAAATCATATTAGATGACTAGGAAGAGGGTGAATTCCAATATAACTTGAAGCGAACTCCGGAAAGCGTCGCTACTGAAATACAAAAGTTCCCCCACAATTCAACGCCAGGACCCGGTGAACAACTCGCGACGTCCGCTGCACCTGCGTTCTCCAATCGTACAGTGGCGCCGCGGCGAACCACTGCGGAAAATATGCAAACCCAAGAAAAGGGCATCGCGTTCGACTATTCCCGCCGCCATTCGTGCGCAGCGGTCAGAGACACGAGAGCGGTTCCCGGGTTAGAGAGGGGCACAGAGACAGAGGGGAAACCTTCTAGAGAGCGAAGGAGAGGATTGGTGCGCATGGTTACGGGGTAACGGGGGAGTACGGTCAGGTTCCTGGGGGGACGAGAGGTCGGCAGCGGCGATGGCGAGCATAACCGAAGGCGGGGAGACATCGCCAAGCGCACACGGCATGTCTCAAACTCTCAACATGCTCCTAGCTGGCAAGAGGTAGATCATCCACACGGTGTGCGCATCGGGTTCGCTTATAAATCCAGGCGCAGGATATTTTGTGCCGCCGGATAGGCATGTTACGGATAAAGGGACTGATCGTTCGAAGGTGGAGAATTTGAGGGAAACGATATAGGAAGGAGAAAAGTATATATATATACACATTGTTTTTAAAAAATCGTGCACCTTCGACGTCGTCCTCATCATCATCATCGTCGTCGTCGTCGATTTTGTGAATAGAAGCTGATACACTCGTGTTGGTGAATTAATACGAGAACACGAATTACATTCCTACCGATCTGTCGAGTTCAGTTCAGTTCAGTTGAGTCGAGTTGAGTGTAAACGGTAGGAGAGGAAGCAGATGCCCGAGTGTGCTCGAGACATCAAGACAGTGAAACGCGTGAAACCCGACGAGGACGCTGCTGACTGGCGTTGAACGTGAAACGAGTCGTCCTGTTTGACTGGAAATCCGTGCGTTTGAGTTTCATACGTGATTATCAGTTTAGCGCATAAAATTGAATTAAAAAATACGAGAAGTAAATAAATAAATTACATGTAGTACTGGCACAGTGTATCGGGTCGTTGATGAATAATGAAACGTGATCGTTCAGAAACTCTATCGAGTTTTGTAAACAGTGCGGTTGATGTTCCTGAGTGAAACGGTACCCGAGTTACTGTAATAAAGCCCAAGAAATTTCTCTCTGGTGGAATTCAAGACTGAAAAAGCCTTGAAGAATTTTATCAACTTTCAAAAGGGAAGTCATAGAGGACAGGTGCACGCGGTACTTAAGCATCGTTATAAACCCGGTGCTACCTGACGACCGACCTTGATAGAAAATACCAGACGTTTAATACGTCGAGGAGACCGAAGTGGTCCGTTGCCGGATTGTTTTTAAAACGATCGTCAGTCTTTGGATCCAGTCTACCAGCTTCTCCTTCTTGTCACCAGGAAGAGGATCGGAGTCGAAGCGTGGAGGAAGCAGCAGCAGCAACAGCAGCAGCAGGGTGGCGTGAAAAGCGTGATCGAGCCGAAGCCGAAGGGATATGGTGAAGTGCGGAGTGTTTTCGGGCAGGTGAGAGCAGTGGGTGCGCAAGCGAAGCGAGTAATAGTGTCCACGAGAAGTATGTCGATGTAAATATATATATATTATGTATATATAAACCAAAAATGGATATATATATATGAATACTTATATATATATAAATATATATATACGTATACATAGACATAAATCGAGATCGGTGGTAGCATCAACATACTGGTGGCTCGTCCTCGGGGTTAACATCGGTACCCGAGTATGTTAACGGTGGAATTCCGCTCGAGAGGAATCTGAAGGCGGGGACTCTGACGTCACTCCGCTCATGATAATGAGGTATTCATGATGGCGGAGTAGCAGGAGCGTAGTGTAGCCCCGGTGGTGTTTGTTTCTCTCTCTATTTCCCTTCTCTGCCTCTCTCTCTCTCTCTCTCTCTCTCTCTCTCTCTCTCTCTCTCTCTCTCTCTCTCTCTCTTCTTCTCTCTCACTCTTGGATTCTCACTCTGGCACCTAGTCCAAAGCATCTTCTTCGCCTGCCTCACCAACCACCCGCCTTTACAGATCATTTATTCATTGAACATGCAGATACTTAAGGTAGAAGAAATCAAAGGTCACGAAGATAATGTCCGTCAACCAAAGGTCATATGGGATTGGATTTTACCTCATTATCCCCTTCGTTATTTCTCCTTATTTTTCATTTTTCATCCATCCATCTCTCTTGCTCTGTCTTCTCTTCTTGCTCTCTGTTATCGCCCTATCCCCCGGGATCCCTCTTTTACTCCCTACCCTCGTACTCCTCTCAACTGTCTCCTCTCTCGTGCTTCCTTTGGCTCCTTTTCACTTACGTTTACGTATGCGTGATGTGTGTGCCTGCTGCGTGAGTCCCCTGCCTCCACCTTCTTGTTATGCCGCGACGGTGATAGTTTTTTGGATGGATTTAGAGCGCAGTGAAATATGCCAAGGAGACGGAATGGGGAAATACCGCTTCCGGAAGGGTGGGACGTCGCGCAGGACTTCGATGGCAAAGTCTACTTCATTGACCATAACACGAGGATAACAACCTGGATCGATCCTAGGGACAGGTACGTGTTTTAACAATAATAACCAAGTATATATTTTCACATGTAAAAGGATCAGCGATAATGTATAATGCTTGTCCCAATTAAACCTCAAAAAGGCGCCACCATTCATACGGCCCTGAATCGCATATATACGTTGGGTACACGAGGTTCTGCCAGTTTGATTCTTTTCGAGGATACCGTGAACACTGTGTGCGCAACTTCTTTCCTTGTGGTTTTACTATACACGTACTCATTCTCTTCTTCCTCGCAGGGCGTGCACATGAGTACGTCCTGCACGCACGTACGCATCTACACGGGACGCACACGCTCAACACTAAGACACGTACTCTCGTGAGCGCCGCGCGCACACACGTACACAAATACTCGCCGCGCCCGCATTCCAGTCGCCAGGGCCGTCGTAACGGGCTCACTGGGCCCCGCGAAAGAGATGAAAAATTTGGCGATCAGGGTCGGTTCGTTTCGCCGGTACTCGTGGGACTTCGTCCTTCTCTTTATCTTGCGCGTCCCTGTCTCTTGAGAGGCTGCATCGTGTCGGTTCTCGACTGCTGCTTTCCTTTTTTTCTGCCTCGAATTTAGCTACTCGGATTTAATGGGGGTATGACCCAATTATTTGGGACTTAATATTACGATATAGATACAACTGTTTTTCTCGTGTTTTATACACGTGCAATAGCCTGCCTCTGACGTGTAAACGCGCGGCACAACTACGTAAGCGCTTGCGACAGAAAAAGCATACTGCTAGAAACATACCTCGTTTGATTATTGAATGATTTTGATCGGACGATTTAATCGCGAGAGATTAGATATGGCGTAAGTAGATACGAGTCCTCTGTCTTGAATTTCTTAACTTTTAGAATCTTCAACCACGAATTTCTTACCCTCTACAAACGTAATGGCGAGTTAAAGGGATTCTATGGTAAACCAGGGTATCCTGATTAATTATATATAATTTAATATTTTAATCATCGTCGCCCTTACGATATATCTTATTAGACAGTCAGTTTTTTGGCAACGTCCGGTCGTAATAGTGTGTCACGAAGTGGCGCCATGAATTCGTAATTAACACCAATAGCACACACATCATATGATTAATTGGGAATCCCAGTTGTCTATCAGATACCTTCTACACGATTGGCCTGTCTATTTTCGAAAATACCAATCCGCCATCTTGACAGTTGACATTCCCAGTCTGAGTTACGATGAATTCGCGGGACTTGTTGCCGACGCTAGAGAAATTTCTCTCGGATCTTCTCTCTCGGAATTTCTCTCTCTCTCTCTCTCTCTCTCTCTCTCTCTCTCTCTTTCTCTCTTGAGGAACGCAACGAAAACATAAAGTTCCTTTGGTCGTTGGCATGCAAAGTAGCCATTACACAATGTCCATAGCAAACTAGTGATAAACCAGGGAAAAAAAATGTCGGTACGTTGAACCCAAATTCTTCCAGCAGCTACCACGTACGCGTATATACCTTCACTATATTCGGATACGTATATCTACTCTCTCTTTCTTTGTCTCTCTCTGTCTTGTACTGCCCCTCTCTCTCTCTCTCTCTCTCTCTCTCTCTCTCTCTCTCTCTCTCTCTCTCTCTCTAAGCAATGTACAGTAAGATCCTATTAACGTTATCGCGCGATCCTGTTTAACCCGTATAATCCTAATGCGCCGTACAGAAAACGGTCAGATCGTGTAATCCATTACCGAGTTACGAACTTTCGAACTCTCCCGATATCCGGCGTAGGGAGCGTCCTCGGATGGAACGCTAGAAAAAAAATTGTGTCGCGCAGCACGACCAGACGTATGCGTATTAAGAAGTTAAGAAGTCAGGACGAAATTGATTTTCGAAGATAAGCTTTACTCAGCTGCCGCTCACTTTCTCCGTTTCAACGAATGCGATTCTTTCCGTCGAAGAAAAACTTAACCAACACTCGGTCAAGTACATTAGGCCGTGCCGCTAAGAGAATACATTGATGACTTTCGGGGAGAGAGAGAAAAAAAATAAGAGGATAAAAACACAAGATGCTGAACGTACGTTAAATGCCTATCTATATATCTACTAGTTGCTGCTTCTGTGTCGCCAGGATATCCCTGAGCTCTCGTGGCTCCTTCGTTACGTCATTCCGCAGGTAGCCACGCTTGACATTTGCATTCGTGGAAACGTAACCTCACTTCCTGGAAGAGGGCGCACCGCATTTGGTTGCGTATAACCACGCAAAAATAGGTAGTAAAAGGTTCGTGTACCCGTTGTCTACCTTGTGTATGTATATATGCGTATGTATATATATATTCGGTTCTCTAGTTTTCTAGTATTCTTTTATCTCTCTCTCTCTCTCTCTCTCTCTCTGTCTTTCGATTATTCGTTTTCTCTCTTTCTCATTTCTCCCGGTAGACTACCGTTTTAACACCCCGAGGGCACCCCGTGGCGTAGGCCTTTTGTTGGCCAATTTGTAGGCTGTCGGCGATGCTCGTCTTGGGCGTGCGGCGACGACTCCGAGATGGTAATTTACGATCGGCTCGTTACCTGAGACTCGGTGCCTCGACCTTCGCGAATATCCCCTACCATGGTTTGTCAGCTACCACTGAAAGATCACGTAGTGTGATCGGCGATCCCCCGCGAAGATGGCGGTCATTCCGGTGCGATGGAACGAAAAAGGAACAAGTAGATGGGGCCTGTTCGATCGCGCTAATGGCCTCGATACTATTAGGAAGTGTTTTTTTTTTTTAATGTCTGACTCTCCGTCGATGTCTGGATTCCGCTTGTGGCGACTTCTAGATCCTTATTAAATTTTTGTATATTCCCGAGACGCAGCCTCGAGCGAAATTGCTTTTAAATTGCCCAGAACTTTTTAGAGACTCGTGCTCTCTTTGGTATCTGCATTGTAATCATCATTGACGACGGCATTGCTATTGGGCCTTTTACGAAATTTTTGGGAATTCCTTTGAGAAGGATTAATGATTTTATAAATTTGGAAACTCGTCTCTCGATATACGTACACTTGCACACGCTAAGGAAATGATACATGGAAACGGTGGATAGTTACGTTTCCTGTTGGTGGGGATACGAAATGTCCTTTTTTTTCGGGTCAGCGGCAGCCCTGGAATGCGGGATCCTGTATAGTGGTTCAAAATAATGGGGACTAATACGACGAAGAGGGGTGACGAGTTGGTATGGTGGCATAAGCCGTGAAAAAAAAAAAGGAAAAAGAAAGCATGGTAGAGGGGAGGCCAAGAAGTCACATTCCAGGTACACCCTTGACCCGTACATCGCGACTTCAAAGGTCCTGAGCAAGACGATTGCCCGGAGAAATTCTAATAATAGATCCCACCGCCAGATGGTGCCCGGACCAGCCGAATACGTTTTTCTTATGGTATGCTGAGGCCTCAGGTCTTACGGGGGCCCCCATGGACCACGAGCGTACGCACGCCTTTCTCTGTATATGTATGTATTCACGGGGCCAACCGGTATATAACGTATGTAGCCGGCCGGTGCCTAAAAATAGATCCTGCCGGCTTTTAGTGCATTCTTCATGGCTATAGCAGATCGAAGGAAGAAGACGATCACGATTTTTCGATGTGACGGTCCTCTTTTCCATTCTCGACACCTTCCTGCATCGTCTGAACTCTATGAAGACAGTCTAAATCTCGTCGAATGGTGCAGCAATATATCGCAGCTGCCATGACGAATTTTTCGACACTCGCATGACTCTTTATCGTTTGGCTAATCGTTGGAATTTATTCGTCAGCATCTATCGTCTAAAATCTACCTTATATATACAAAGGATAACCCAGATGACGCTGTACACCCTGTATATACATTTACGTTTCTCAGTCCGCTTGACGTTCCTTTATTTCGTTTTCTCTTCACGGTGCCAGAAGCGCCAGGGCCGTTTCCCAAAGAACCGCGCTTGCATAGAGACCCAAACCATACGGCATCTGCTCGCCATCTGTGTTTAGAAAAATCCCTCGCATTCCACAGGCTAAAAACGTGCATCGCGTGTGTTTATAGTTTACACATAGCATTCTTTGTTCCGCCATACCTCCGTCTCTTCTCCGTAATCGCACTTCTCTTGCCTTTTCCGTTTCGCCATGGACGTAAACGCGCATGCGCAGTACAAGCATTTTTCGTCGCTACAGTCTCAGCGTGTATTTGACAACGGCGGCGTCTCTCCGTGCACTCGTAAGCCTGCTATTGAGTAACGTCCAAACTTTAAACATTCGTAGCAAAAAGTATGGTTAGCCTGGAATTTCCTGTGACGTGCGTAAAACATAAGGAGCCAACAAAAAGTGGAGAAACAAATTTACCAACGAAACAGCAGTCAAGGGCGAGACGAACGTCAAATCTTTGGTGCCCTTCAATATTTCGCCATTTTAATTCTCACTCGCGGCCATTGGCACGTAACCATAAACACGTAGATATGTATGTAACGCTATGCCGGAGAGACCATGACACAAATTATCCCCGCGAAGAATGCTCCCAAAATTGGAATTTCGTAGCATTCCCGACACATGACTGTACACCATAAAAATGGCCGACCGTCTTTCACGCAGTACGAGTCAAACGACAAACTCATTTCTCTTCGGCATGTAGTAACTGCAAAGTTTCTACAAACGTGTCGATGCAATAATCACTAGTGGCAAGAAATTTTTTGTAAATTGTTCGAGACGCTGTAAATAAAATTGATTCAGGTAGCCGAGCCAGCTCTCCCACGCGTGTAAGCAGTGCCCACGCGAAGAACAGAACGGCCATTCAGTGAGGTTAGAATGACGCTAAGAGAATTACACCTGCTGGATGGTGACGGTGAATGTCTAGAGTTAAAATTGACTCAATGCATACACGCACGAACGTAGACGCGAATTCATTTTTCATAATGCCTATAGACGATTGTCTGTTTGTCTGGCTACGTGTGCGTCCGTGGGGCTATCCGACTGTTCGGCATACTTCAGACTGGCCAAACGCGAGTAATGAATGCCGCGTTACAAATTCATCGCGTAGGAGAAACTTTCTTGT